AAGGAACAAGTTTACACATGACAACCAGCCCAATTTCAGGGAAAGGAAATCCTGTGTCACAAACCTACTGGAGTTTTATGACAAGGTAATGGAAGTAAGACAAGAGAGAGAGGGGCGAGTTAATTGCATTTTCTTGGACTGCAAGAAGGCCTTCAACACAGTTTCACACAAGAGATTAGTGCAAAAGTTAGAGGATCAGGCACACATGACAGGAAAGGCACTGCAATGGATCAGAGAATACCTGACAGGGAGGCAACAAGAAGTCATGGTATGTGACAAGGTGTAAGAGTGGGTGCCTGTGACAAGTGGGGTTCCACAAGGGTCAGCCCTAGGATTGGTACTGTTTCTGGTATATGTGAATGACATGCCAGAAGGGATAGACTCAGAAGTGTCCCTGTTTGCAGGTGATGTGAAGTTAACAATTAGAATTAAATCGAATGATTATCAGACAGGACTACAAAGGGACCTGGACAGGCTGCAAGCCTGGTCCAGTAACTGGCTCCTGGAATTTAACCCCACCAAATGCAAAGTCATGAAGATTGGGGAAGGGCAAAGAAAACCATAGACAGAGTACAGGCTAGGGGGGCCAAAGACTGCAAACCTCACTCAAGGAAAAGGATCCTGGGATGAGTATAATACCGAGCACATCTGAGGCGCACATCAACCAGATAACTGCTGCAGCATGTGGACGCCTGGCAAACCTAAGACTGCCATTCCGATACCTCAGTAGGGAATTATTCAAAACTCCGTACACCATGTATGTCAGGCCCATATTGGAGTATGCAGCACCTGTTTGGAACCCACACCTGGTCAAGCACATCAAGAAATTAGAGAAAGTGCAAAAGTTTGCAACAAGACTAGTCCTGGAGCTAAGGGGTATGTCCTATGAGGAGAGGTTAAGGGAAATCAACCTGATGACACTGGAGGATAGGAGGGATAGGGAAGACATGATAATGACATAAAATACTGTGAGGAATTGACAAGGTGGACAAAGACACAATGTTCCAGAGATGGGACAAAGCAACAAGGGGATCATAATTGGAAGTTGAAGACTCAGAAGAGTCAGAGGGATGTAAGGAAGTATTTCTTCAGCCATAGAGTTGTCAGGAAGTGGAATAGCCTGGAAAGTGACGTAGTGGAGACAGGATCCATACATAGTTTTAAGGCGAGGTATGATAAAAAAGCTCATGGAGCAGGGAGAGGGCCTAGTAGGAACCAGTGAAGAGGCAGGGCCAGGAGCTATGACTCGACCCCTCCAACCACAATTAGGTGAGTACCTACACACACACATACACGTACACACATGATAATATATAAAATACTGAGAGGAACTGACACGGTGGACAAAGACACGATGTTCCAGAGATGGGACACACCAACAAGGGGTCATAATTGGAAGCTGAAGACTCAGATGAGCCACAGGGATGTTAGAAGTATTTCTTCAGTCACAGAGTTGTCAGGAAGTGGAATAGTCTGGAAAGGGAGGTGGTGGAGGCAGGATCCATACATAGCTTTAAGAAGCAAAGAGGGAGTGACCTAGTAGCGACCAGTGAAGAGGCGGGGCCAGGAGCTATGACTCGACCCCTGCAACCACAATTAGGTGAATACATGTACACATACATACACGAGCCCGCTCACGCGCACACAAATATATATATATGTATATATGTATATATATATATGTTATATATATATATATATATATATATATATATATATATATATATATATATATATATATATATATATATATATATATATATATATATATATGTTGTGTATCTTTATACATATATGCTTCTAAACTGTTGTATCCTGAGCACCTCTGCAAAAACAGTGATAATGTGAGAGTGTGGTGAAAGTGTTGAATGATGATGAAAGTATTTTCTTTTTGGGGATTTTCTTTCTTTTTTGGGTCACCCTGCCTAGGTGGGAGACGGCCGATTTGTTGAAAAAAAAAAAAAAATATATATATACAGTGGACCCCCGCTTTACGATCACCTCCCAATGCGACCAATTATGTAAGTGCGTTTGTACGTGTATGTTTGGGGGTCTGAAATGGACTAATCTAATTCACAATATTCCTTATGGGAACAAATTCGGTCAGTACTGGCACCTGAACATACTTCTGGAATGAAAAAATATCGTAAACCGGGGGTCCAATGTATGTATGTATGTATGTATGTATGTATGTATTATGTATGTATGTATGTATGTTATGTATATATATATGTATATTATATATATATATATATATATATATATATATATATATATATATAATATATTATATATATATATATATATATATAAAAACTATGTATGTATATATATATATATATATATATATATATATATATATATATAAATTAAAAGAGGAGGCAGTTAGGGAAAGATATAATGTGTATGTACGTATGTATGTATGTATGTATGTATGTATGTATGTATATATATATATATATATATATATATATATATATATATATATATATATATATATATATTATATATAAACTAAAAGAGGAGGCAGTTAGGGAAAGATATAAGCAGCTATTGGAGGATAGATGGGCTAAGGGAGAGCATAGGCAATGGGTCGAAGAGGTATGGGGTAGGTTTAAAAATGTAGTGTTAGAGTGTTCAGCAGAAGTTTGTGGTTACAGGAAAGTGGGTGCGGGGAGGGAAGAGGAGCGATTGGTGGAATGATGATGTAAAGAGAGTAGTAAGGGAGAAAAAGTTAGCATATGAGAAGTTTTTACAAAGTAGAAGTGATGCAAGGAGGGAAGAGTATATGGAGAAAAGAGAGAGGTTAAGAGAGTGGTGAAGCAATGTAAAAAGAGAGCAAATGAGAGAGTGGGTGAGATGTTATCAACAAATTTTGTTGAAAATAAGAAAAAGTTTTGGAGTGAGATTAACAAGTTAAGGAAGCCTAGAGAACAAATGGATTTGTCAGTTAAAAATAGGAGAGGAGAGTTATTAAATGGAGAGTTAGAGGTATTGGGAAGATGGAGGGAATATTTTGAGGAATTGTTAAATGTTGATGAAGATAGGGAAGCTGTGATTTCGTGTATAGGGCAAAGAGGAATAACATCTTGTAGGAGTGAGGAAGAGCCAGTTGTGAGTGTGGGGGAAGTTCGTGAGGCAGTAGGTAAAATGAAAGGGGGTAAGGCAGCCGGGATTGATGGGATAAAGATAGAAATGTTAAAAGCAGGTGGGGATATAGTTTTGGAGTGGTTGGTGCAATTATTTAATAAATGTATGGAAGAGGGTAAGGTACCTAGGGATTGGCAGAAAGCATGCATAATTCCTTTGTATAAAGGCAAAGGGGACAAAAGAGAGTGCAAAAATTATAGGGGGATAAGTCTGTTGAGTATACCTGGTAAAGTGTATGGTAGAGTTATTATTGAAAGAATTAAAAGTAAGACTGAGAATAGGATAGCAGATGAACAAGGAGGCTTTAGGAAAGATAGGGGGTGTGTGGACCAGGTTTTACAGTGAACATATAAGTGAACAGTATTTAGATAAGGCTAAAGAGGTCTTTGTGGCATTTATGGATTTGGAAAAGGCGTATGACAGGGTGGATAGGGACGCAATGTGGCAGATGTTGCAGGTGTATGGTGTAGGAGGTAGGTTACTGAAAGCAGTGAAGAGTTTTTACGAGGATAGTGAGGCTCAAGTTAGAGTACATAGGAAAGAGGGAAATTATTTCCCAGTAAAAGTAAGCCTTAGACAAGGATGTGTGATGTCACCGTGGTTGTTTAATATATTTATAGATGGGGTTATAAGAGAAGTAAATGCGAGGGTCTTGACAAGAGGCGTGGAGTTAAAAGATAAAGAATCACACACAAAGTGGGAGTTGTCACAGTTGCTCTTTGCTGATGACACTGTGCTCTTGGGAGATTCTGAAGAGAAGTTGCAGAGATTGGTGGATGAATTTGGTAGGGTGTGCAAAAGAAGAAAATTAAAAGTGAATACAGGAAAGAGTAAGGTTATGAGGATAACAAAAATATTAGGTGATGAAAGATTGGATATCAGATTGGAGGGAGAGAGTATGGAGGAGGTGAATGTATTCAGATATTTGGGAGTGGACGTGTCAGCGGATGGGTCTATGAAGGATGAGGTGAATCATAGAATTGATTAGGGGAAAAGTGTGAGTGGTGCACTTAGGAGTCTGTGGAGACAAAGAACTTTGTCCTTGGAGGCAAAGAGGGGAATGTATGAGAGTATAGTTTTACCAACACTCTTATATGGGTGTGAAGCATGGGTGATGAATGTTGCAGCGAGGAGAAGGCTGGAGGCAGTGGAGATGTCATGTCTGAGGGCGATGTGTGGTGTGAATATAATGCAGAGAATTCGTAGTTTGGAAGTTAGGAGGAGGTGCGGGATTACCAAAACTGTTGTCCAGAGGGCTGAGGAAGGGTTGTTGAGGTGGTTCGGACATGTAGAGAGAATGGAGCGAAACAGAATGACTTCAAGAGTGTATCAGTCTGTAGTGGAAGGAAGGCGGGGTAGGGGTCAGCCTAGGAAAGGTTGGAGGGGGTAAAGGAGGTTTTGTGTGGGAAGGGCTTGGACTTCCAGCAGGTGTGCGTGAGTGTGTTTGATAGGAGTGAATGGAGACGAATGGTTTTTAATACTTGACATGCTGTTGGAGTGTGAGCAAAGTAACATTTATGAAGGGGTTCAGGGAAACCGGCAGGCCGGACTTGAGTCCTGGAGATGGGAAGTACAGTGCCTGCACTCTGAAGGAGGGGTGTTAATGTTGCAGTTTAAAAACTGTAGTGTAAAGCACCCTTCTGGCAAGACAGTGATGGAGTGAATGATGGTGAAAGTTTTTTTTTTTCGGGCCACCCTGCCTTGGTGGGAATCGGCCAGTGTGATAATAATATATATATATATATATATATTATAAAAATATATATATATATATATATATATATATATAATATATATATATATTAATATTATATTATTATACTATATATATATTGAAATGCTCACAAAAATTCATAATTGATGAGAAAAATTAGTCATTAGTTTTGAAAATATCTGAAAGTTTGAAAAATAGAAGCTGGTGTAGGTTTAATGTAACACTTAGAATTCTTTCATTTTTGAGACTTTATAACAGAATATTGTCTTGTGATTATTGTTTCAAATACATGAAATATGAAAATTTTCTCTTCACTACCATAATGAAGTACTGGCACCTTATAAACAGAAAATACAACAACTCACCATCTTATTAAGAATATGTGCACTTGTAACAATTTACAAAACACGAAAAAAAAAAAAAAGTTTCCCAAGGAAGACAAGATTGGTTTTCCAACTTTACTGTTTGTTACCAAACATCTTTCCAGTCTATGTGGCCACCCTTACTTAAGATAACATACCTCCTGGCCAGGAATTGTTTTAATATCTTTTACAAATAGTTACTTTTGATTAATATACATTATACTAATTTAACCTAAACTAACAAAGTGAAGTGGATTAAGATGGAAAACATTGTTTTTCACACATTCTTTCAAAAGTTCCTAAGTGCACACATTCCAAGGAAGACAGGTTGGATACAATTACTATAATACACTATACACACTAAAGTCAAAATAGGTGCAAATTTTCCTTTGGAGATCAGCAATCAGTACATTAATATTTATTATGGTATTAAGCTTATAAAAAAAAGTTTCTGGGTGATAACTAAAAATATAATTTATCCAATAAAAAATCTTTAAAATGTGTATGTGTGATTCAGTAGGCCTTATGAGTAACTCGTGAAGTACCCACTAACACAATGTGTATCAAGTATATGCCTGTGATTCATGTCCAATAAATATATCAGTATGTACAGAAGTGATTCAGTATCTCCATGGGTATCATTTATATACAGTATATATTTGACATGGCATATATATTGTAAAAAATGTGTATATGATTCAGCAGCACCAGGAGTAACACACGAAGCTATAACATAGAGCACACAAATGTTGCACGAAACATGTTTATGATTTAACACACATTGAATGACTAAGAGCAATAATTTACACACACACACACACACACACACACATATAAATAAAATATATATACACACACACACAGGTTGTACAAAATAAAATATGAAGGCATATGTTCATCCTCTTCATAATAGAGCAATATTAATTACATCTCTCTATTGTACCTATAAATTACCATCTTATGAATCTTATGAAGGTATGTAACATTTATAACAGTATAGTCACAACAATTTGAATTTGGTTTTGGTTTATTCCTACTTCAGCCAATAGCTAGACAATGCCAAATACAACCTTTACCAACGATTAGTTATAAAAAAATTTTTTGTTTTTTCAGTGTTCCAACTATCACAGAGCTGTAACAGAATGTTAATGTAGTCACATAAATCTGTCAGCAGGATTTATGTCTAATGTACTGACAAAGAATTTACTAGTCATTCATTGCAATAACACCAATTTGCTTTACAAACATATAAAATAGCATGGCATAACACACACATTACCAACTACTCCTGTTATACACAACAGCAAGGTGTAACACAAATTACTAACTCCTGCACATACAAACACAACATTGTGTCACAAATTACCAAATCCTGTACATACACCACACAGCATAGCATAACAAATTATTAACTCCTGTATACACATGCAAGATAGCATGGTGAAACACACAAATTATACTAACTCCTCCTTTCCATACACCCAACATAGCATGGCATAACACAAATTACCAACTCCTGTACAAACAACATAGCATGGTTTTACATATATACATTACTAAGTCTTGCTTGACACACCATATAACATGACCTTACATATAATATACATTACAAACTCTCCAATAACCAAGAGTTCTTTGAACTTGGAAATCATGCTTAAATATGATCATAATGTAATAATGTTGGCAGAATTACCAACAATATGTAAAGTAAAAGGACACAAGTGCAACTAATGTGACATTTTATGGTGGCAACGTTTCGCTCTCCAGGAGCTTTGTCAAGCGGCTTGACAAAGCTCCTGGAGAGCGAAACGTTGCCACAATAAAATGTCACATTAGTTGCACTTGTGTCCTTTCACTTTACATAAATATGATCAACATTCTTAAGAAAGTGTTACTAGGTACTTCATCATAAATGAGCAAGAGAATTAAATGTTTCATTTAATTATGAATTTGTCTCATTAAGTCATGGACATTAAAGACACACTTGTACTTCAGAGAATATGGCAATGCAATATTCTCATTAGTATACACAATTGTAATGATATTAAGTACCATAACTTCATTACTGCACTAATGTAAATTTGATATACAGTAATGAAAAGGGAATAGAAAACTCATATCCATAACTATGCAACTGACTGTTGCATGACCCATACAGGTTTGGTGCTTTTTTTTCTTTATGTAATTAAATACAACTGATTCATTGATACATATACCTTGTAAATACATTTTGAAGAAAAGTAAATACTAGAACAAATGGGTATAAAAAAATTCTTCACAATCAAAAACCAAAAGTGATGACTATATCTCATACACTACATCTGGCCCTTTCAGGTGTAGCACCTCATTTTATTATCTCATTATTTCACCTGCTACAAGAACTGTTCTTATAGTGGCTATTATGAAGAATTATGAAATTTAAGTTTACCTTTTAGATACATCAGTGGCATCAATGCCTACTTTAATTACATATGGTATCAATCTCTGTTGGTCATAGAGGGTTTGTGAAAAATTCTTGTAGAATGCATTTGAATAAAAATCTGAAATAAACACTTAAAAAACATATATTCCTCATATTGTATAGTACATCTACTGATTATTTTTAAAGCATCAGCATATTTAAACAATATGCTTTGGAGGAAATGAGAAATTTTCCATCTGTAGAATTCAAAATATAAATACGAGTTTTTCATTACACCCAGCTGAATCATACATGTACATGTTTAATAAATTTCTTAAGCAAGCAGTTATTTGCCTGAATTTACCCGCCCCCAACCCTACCATCTCATGGAAGACATGAGTAATAAATGCAATTGTTTTTTCTTCCAGATAATAAATGGTACCACGTGAGGCTAATGGTTGCTATACCTAATGCACAATCTCTTAATGCAGGTACAGGTATGACCTTGCACATATACTTGCATGCTTATTAAAACAAAGTTGTATGCTACTGTTATAAATATCAAATACAGTATCATAAATGTTTTAAAACTTATGCAAGATTGTTAATTGGCACACATTTTGTACCAGAGTCATGTGAAACTGATGCTAATTTCATCATGACCTCTCAAGGTTTCCTTGATGCTGGAGTCAGCAGAGGCATTCCTTTCCCAGACTACTGTTCAGTGCTCTTTCAGCAACTCTGAAACTGCTAGCAACACTGTTAATTTGAATTAGAATGCAACAAATTATTTTCTATCAAACCACAATGGGATTCTGGCCACGATCATCCTACCATTGTCAGGTTTAGTCAACTGCACTTTCACAATCATGAACGACCACACACTTCTCTCACATGGCTACCACATGAAATATCCTAACACCACTCTTAGTTCACCATAGCTTAACAGTGTCCTACAAGCAGGCATGCAGAATTCATTTCCAACATCTACAATGCCCTAACACACTCATTAACTTACTTCCTTGCTGAAAGCCCCACCTTTAATGCAGATTCACTCCAACGTTTTAAAAGAAACTTAACCTACTGTACAAACTCTGATTTAAATTTTACATGAATTAACCTCCACCTCCACTAACCCCTACCACTTGCCCACCCTAACCTTCACACACACCCATAATTCTGCATGACCTATATAGGTTTAGTGCATTAAAATATTATCATCATTATTAGAGAGGAGCTCTTGACCCAAGGAACTGGACTCCTCTTCCTGGGAGTGACTCTGACTGCTTCCCCATTCTCCAGGTGCTGTATAACCTCCTATGGGTTTAGCACTTATCCTCAATATAATAATTATAATTGTAAATAATAATAATACAGTAATAATAATTCCATCATGATTATTCTTTGACAAACAAACCAATATTAAACTGTTCCTTCCACAGCATTTACAGAAGCTGAAAATATAATAACAATTATGTACATCATTACTATTTTTTAACAAATAAATCAGTGCAATATTAAATTGTTCCTTTTATGTAGTACAATAGGGCCCCGCCTTACAGCATTCTGCTAATACGGACATTTCAAATTATGACAAAAACTCGCTATACGGCTCCCCCCACCTGACTTTCTAATACAGTCACTGTACCCCACCTGATTTGTTTACGTTCTCCATGAGCTCTGTGAGCACCGCATCTCTCCATTATGTCTGGAAACTTTCCAAAATTTCAAGTTTAAAAGTTATTTCATGTTTTATATAAACCCTGATTATACTTACGTGTACCCGAACCTAAATAAACTTACACACTGTGCTGGCATGCAGGTACACATTAAAATCACTAAGAGTGTCTTATTAGTCTTGAAGATGCCATATTGATAATGGTGGTAATAATAATAATAATTTTTTTTTAAATAAATCGGCCGTCTCCCACCGAGGCAGGGTGACCCAAAAAGAAAGAAAATCCCCAAAAAGAAAATACTTTCATCATCATTCAACATTTTCACCTCACTCACACATAATCACTGTTTTTGCAGAGGTGCTCAGAATACAACAGTTTAGAAGCATATACGTATAAAGATACACAACATATCCCTCCAAACTGCCAATATCCCAAACCCCTCCTTTAAAGTGCAGGCATTGTACTTCCCATTTCCAGGACTCAAGTCCAGCTATATAAAAATAACTGGCTTCCCTGAATCCCTTCACTAAATATTACCCTGCTCACACTCCAACAGCTCGTCAGGTCCCAAATACCATTAGTCTCCATTCACTCCTATCTAACACGCTCATACACGCTTGCTGGAAGTCCAAGCCCCTCACCCACAAAGCCTCCTTTACCCCCTCCCTCCAACCTTTTCGAGGACAACCTCTACCCCGCCTTCCTTCCCCTACAGATTTATATGCTCTCCATGTCATTCTACTTTGATCCATTCTCTCTCATTAATAATCATATTAAATGTTATATATTACATTAATATAAACATTTTCAATAACCCTTTGAGCATTTCAGTCGTATATATATGTCTTACAAGCCAGTGTTTTTGACGTATTTATACTCCAAAATTCTAGTGGCTTCAAATCAAGCAGGAGAAAGCTGGTAGGCCCACATGTGAGAGAGCGGGTCTGTGTGGTCAGTGTGCACAGTATAAAAAACAATCCTGCAGCACGTAATGCATGAGAAAAAAAAAAAGATGGTGTTTTTGGATTAAAACACTCACTTTGAGGTGTATTTTCATATAGTATTTATGTTTGTATTCTTGTTTTCTTGGTTTCATTTGACAGAATTTAAGACATATTACAGAAATAGAGATGATTTTGATTGGTTTCACGAAGAAAAGGACCTTGAAATTGAGCTCAAATTAGCAGAAATGTTCGATTTTTGCTGATGTTCAAGAGTAAACAAATTATGTCATTGTCCAATAAGTGTCCAATTAAGCCATTCTAATATGCAGTCATGAACAGGTTGACATTATTTATACAATTATTGCAATAATGCAGTAGTCTGCATAACAGTAAATCTTCTATTTTTTGTGTGAATAAAAATTCAAAATAGAAAGCAAGAGTAATATAAAAGGGGCCTGGAGAAATGACTGATGAACAGAGAAAATGTTATTTTAGTGCCAGGAATGTCTGCATTGTTCATTCTGGACCCTATTTTGAAACTGGCATCTTTTTTAATTTGAATGAAATTGGCCAAATTGCCAATTTCTGACCACTTTATTGGGTAGTTGAAATCAGTAAATGGGCAGTTTCTTATACTCAATCGATAGAACAAATGGAGTTCTAGAGAAACAGCTATGAGTTTGGTCGACTGGAACAACAGAATTGGCTGAAAGTAGGGCTCAAAGTGGGTGAAATCGCCGATGCGTAAACATCGCTGAGATCGCTAACTTTGCAACAGCGTAATTCTGTAAGTTTTCCATCAAATTTCGTACTTTTGGTGTCATTAGCATCGAGAAAAGATTCTTTATCGATTTGAGTAGTTGTTTTTGTTTTTTTTAAATTTTGCAACACACACTTTCGGGTTTGGGGTTGCGACAGTCAAAGGGTATTTTTTTCAAAATTATATAATAAACATGCTACATAACATATAAACATGATAAATACACCCCATAGTAGAATAAATTAACATAAATATGAGATGTTAAGTGTATTATTATTATTATAATAAAAAAGAAGCGCTAAGCCACAAGGGCTATACAGCGCTGCAGGGTAGGAAAGGAAGCGAGGGTACTGGGCAGCAGAAGGGGGGAGGGGGGATCAGTAGGTTACAAAAAACAGTGGGGTAGGGGATAGTGCAGGGTAGAGGGTAGCAAGAGATCGAGGTAGAAAGGGCTGAAGGTATCATCAGAGTTTGTGAAGTCAGTCAGTTGTTGTCAAAAAGTCAATGAGAGAGTCTGGATGAAAGGTGGGTCCATCAGCGAGAAGGGAAGGTAAAGAGAGAGCAGCGGAGCGAAGACGACGTTGGAGGTAAATTCTGCGTGCTCGTTGATAAAGTGGGCAGTCTAACAGAATGTGGCTGACCGATAATGGAACCTGACAATTCTCACAGAGAGGAGCAGGGCGCCTCTCCATGAGATACCCGTGATTAAGACGAGTATGGCCAATGCGGAGACGGGAGAGAGTAGTCTCCCAACCTCGGCACTGGTGACAAGAAGACGGCCAGTAACCTATACTCGGTTTAATAGATTGAAGTTTGTTACCGAGTAGAGTAGACCAACGTTGTTGCCAACGGGTGTAAAGGTGGGTAGCTATTGCAGCAAAGTAGTCTGTAAATGGAACACCTCTATATGAAACTGGTAGGTCATGTATTGCTGACCGCGCAGCAGTGTCTGCCTGTTCATTGCCCTGTACGTCAACATGACCAGGGACCCAACAAAAAGCAATATCTTTATGCTTGGTAGAGTTGTGGCATAGCCAAAGTTGGATACGGAGGACTAAGGGGTGAAGTGTATCAAATTTCTGTATAGCCTTTAAAGCACTAAGGGAGTCTGAGACAACCACAAATGATGACACAGGCATAGATGCAATACGGATAAGTGCTGCAAGAATGGCATACAATTCAGCAGTAAAGATACTAGCCGAAGATAGTAAATGCCCTCGTACAACGCTGTCCGGAAACACTGCTGCGAATCCTACACCATCAGAAGACTTAGAGCCATCTGTGTACACTGCAATGGCATGAGAATGAGAGTGGAAGTGGTCAAGAAAAAGAGAGCGGGAGGCTACCTTAGACAGTTGGGCTTTCGAGCAAGGGAGTGAGAAAGAGCAGACTCGAACAGCTGGAACTTCCCAGGGGGGTAGGGAAAAGTGAGATGCTACATGAACATAGAAAGGAGGAAATTGAAGAGAAGATGAGCGAATGTAGGCGAAGAGAGAAGGGACGGAGCAAACGGGCGGCGAACAAATAAAGAATGTCTACTAATATCGGTGACCATTCTATAAATGGAAGGACTGCAGAGATCATGAGAGTGCACATAGTAGCATAGTAGTGAAGGGAATGGGCATCACGGCGATCGGATAAGGATGGAACGTTCGCTTCTGCATAGAGGCTCTCAACAGGGGAAGAGCAAAAAGTACCAAGGCATAAACGTAATCCTTGGTGATGAATAGGGTTGAGGCTAGATAGAGTAGCAGGAGAGGCAGCTGAAAAGATCTGGTTACCTTAGTCAAGTTTCGATAAAATGAGGGTGGAATGTAGGCGAAGGAGAGTTCGACGATCAGCTCCCCATGAAAGATGAGCAAGGGTTTTAAGAAGGTTCAGCCGGCTATGACAAGTTGTCTTCAGAGAGGTAATGTGAGGTTTCCAGGATAACCTACGGTCAAAGAGGAGGCCTAGAAACCTGACTGTATCACGTTCAGGGATACGGGTGCCATAGAGATATAAAGGATGATCGGAGATGACAGAGCGTCTAGTGAAAGTAATTTGGTGAGTTTTGGTACTGAAAAATTTAAACCCATGTGTGGTGGCCCAATTGGAAACACGGTCGACCGCATGCTGGAGAGAAACTGTAATGAGGTGACAGTCAGCGCCTGCACAGGCAATAGCAAAGTCATCAACATAGAGTGATGACCAAATATTGGATGGAAGACTAGAGGCCAAATCATTTATAGCAAGGAGAAAAAGTGTTGTGCTCAGAACACATCCCCTGGGGGACACCTTCAGCTTGGATAAAGTTCGGGGAAAGCACATTATTAACCCGAACATGGAAATGTCTGTCAGTTAAAAAGTTCTTAAGGAAGGATGGTAGATTGCCTCAAAGGCCTAAGGAGTGGGCTTGGTCAGAATATTATACCTCCAAGTTGTGTCATATGCCTTCTGATGTTAAGTGTAGATGAACTGCATGAACCATAACCAGGTGAATTCATCTGCTTGTTTACATACTACATGTCGATCTCCTCTCTCATTTACTCCTTCTCTCTCTCTCTCTCTCTCTCTCTCTCGTTTATTTGTTTTACCTTGTTTACTCACCTTTCACCCTACATTAAGACTACAGTGGATCCCCGGTTATCAGCCGTAATCCGTTCCAGAAGGTTGGCCTAAATCCAAAATGGCCAAAAACCAAAGTAATATTTCCCATAAGAAATAATGTAAATCCAATTAACCCGTTCCAGACACCCAAAAATATTAACAAAAAATACATTTTTTAAAGAATACCTATAGGTTTACATTCAGAAAACAATAAGAAATATAAAGCAGTAATTTTAATAATAAATGAACATTATATACCTTTATTGAAGACTCTTGTTGATGTATGGAAGGCGGCAAGGAGGGGAGAGGGAGGAGAGCTTATTGTTTGGAAGGGGAATCCCCCTCCATAAGGACTTCAGGTATCAAGTCCCTCTCTAGGGTTACTTCCCTTCCTTGTTTTTTTACTGGCACTAGGACCAGCTTGCGAGTCACTGCACCCGTCGCACAAAAAATCTGTCCAGAGAGGCCTGTTTCTGGTGTCTCTGTAAAATTTGCCTAAAACAGAACAAGACATCATTGCCATTGAACATGTTGCAGACATGGCTTGCAAAAGTTTTGTCACAGCAATAATTCTCCGCAAAACTTCGCATCTCACTCTACTTTGCACTCATGTCCTTAATCACTGAAGGCACATTCTTTCCCCTCTCTTCCTCCTCTGAAGCAATATCCTCAGCTGTGGTCTGTTGCTGATCCTGTTGAAGGTGATGCAGCTCTTCAGTGGTTAGCTCTTCCCTGTGGTCCTCCACCAACTCTTCCACATCCTCGCCACTCACATCCAACCCCATGGACTTCCCCAAAGACACAATATATTCCACAATAGGCGTAGGGTCATCAGGGTCCGCCTCAAACCCTTCAAAATCTTTGTCAAGGACACATTCTGGCCACAATTTTCTCCAAGAAGAGTTCAAAGTCCTGGAAGTCACTCCCTGCCAAGCCTTATCTATAAGGCTTATGCAATGGAAGATAATGACATGATTCCTGCAGAACTCTCTTAGGGTCAATTCAGTGTCCAAGGTCACTTCAAAGCACCTTTGAAACATTGCTTTGGTGTACAGTTTTTTGAAGTTGAAATGACCTGCTGGTCCATGGGCTGGATGAGAGAAGTGGTATTAGGGGTAAGAACTTCACTGTGATGAACTTACACTCCTCAAACAATAGGTTTTCCAAGTCTGGAGGATGAGCAGGAGCATTGTCCATTACCAGGAGGCACTTAAGTGGCAATTTATTTTCCAGGAGGTATTTCTTCACACTCAGGCCAAACACTTCCTTGACTTGCTCAATGAAAATTAGCCTCGTGACCCATGCCTTATTGTTAGCCCTCCACATCACACACAATTTACTCTACATGACACTGTTTTTCTTGAGCATCTGGTGATTTTCAGAATGATACACGAGTAAAGGCTTCACTTTGAAATCCCCACTAGCGTTACCACAGAACAAAAGTTAGCCTATCCTTCATAGGCTTGTGTCCTGGCAGTGCCCTTTCCTCCTGCATGATGTAGGTCCTCTTTGGCATTTTCTTCCAAGGGGCCTGTTTTGTCACAACTGAACACTTGTTGGGGGAGGAATCCTTCAGTCTCTACGTACCCCTTGAATTCATCAACGAATGCTTTGGCCACACATTTGTCAGAACTTGCAGCCTCGCCATGCCTTACAACACTGTGTATGCCACTACCCTTTTTGAATCTGTCAAACCAGCCTTTGCTGGCCATAAATTCACTAACAGCAGCACTCGTTCCCGGCATTTCCTTTATGAGATCCGCATGCAACTGCCTTGCTTTCTCGCAAAATATCCCCTCCGAAACACTATCTCCCACTAATTGTTTCTCATTGATCCACACCAACAACAACTTCTCCACATCCTCAACTGTTTGAGACCTCTGTTTTGTTAGCATATTTACACCTTTCGCAGCATCAGCTTCCTTGATTTCTGCTTTCTTCAACAGGATGGAACTCATTGTTGATGTAGATTTCCCATACATCCTGGCCAGCTCCGCCACATGTATGCCACTTTCATATTTTGCGATAACTTCTTTCTTGAATTCTATCGTGTTTCTCACCTTCTTTACCAAAGGGCTGGCACTCTGAACTTTCTTTGGCCTCTTGGTGGCTTATTTCACAGTTGCAATCAATAAACAAGCACTAAAAACAATGGACGAATGCACAGAGTATTCCTAACCCAATGAGAGAGAAGCGCAGAGTGAGTGTGAGACATGTGGGAAAGCGCTTCTCCAGTGGGTGGAAGCATCTCATACCAATGATTTCCGAGCGGATGGCCGAAATCCGGGGAGAAATTTCACCAAAGAAGTGCCCGATTTCCAAATTGGCCGATTTCCACACTAGCTGATATCCGGGGCTCCACTGTACAAATATTTTAAGGTAAGTAATGAGTGTACTGCATATGCATTTTATCGCTCTAGGGCACTTTAAGTGTCATAGTATATTACATGTGGGTGGGGCAGGCAGCCTGGCCTGGCTGTCTACCATACCTCCCACACCTGACTTCCTACAAATAAATACTACTCACATCTAACCCTACATTAAGACTACAAATATTCTATGGTAAGTAATGAATGCATTGTGTGTGTATTTTACTTTTTATTGTTTTTAATCCCTAGTTCTATTGCTAACTTAATATATGTTAGTGTAAACTTGTTATCTGGCATTTACATGCATTTATAAGTGGAAAATATGGCATTCTGCTTTCTGGCGATTTCCGCTTTCCGGCAGTAGCCTGGAACCTAACTTACCGTAGAAGTGGAGCGCTACTGTATAGTATTATTATTATTAAAATCAAATTTTCTAATCTAATTTTCCTCATTTAAAAGCATTTTTGTTTTAATACAACTAAATATGATAATGTAAGTTACGATACTACCTTCCTTGAGTTTACATCTGAGTTTTGCCTCTCTAGTCATTGTTTTATTTCATGGAGATTGCACCTTTTTTGATGGCTGCCCTCATGTTTATGCTTTTCCATGCATTTCATGAGTCTTTAAATAATGAATAGTTCAAGGAACCCCTGAAACATTTAAAAGAATGCCAAATGATTGTTTAGCTTTGATAAATGAGATGCTATATGACCCTTTCAGGTTTAGCACTAACTTGATTATATGATTACTTTGATAAGTGTGAAGCTCATACCGACTACTTGCAGATAGGTTGAGCAAGTGGAGGATGGATGGATAACAGAACCTAATGTGGATAATTGCAATGCAATAGAAATGGGAGAAAGTGAAAACAAATCACACGAAAAACACAGATTGTGTCATAAAATACTAAAAAAGCCAGACGAAGATAAGGACTCACCATTTATAAAAGATATTATTGGAATTCCATGCATGTCGTAAGAGGCGACTAAAATGACAGGAACAAGGGACTAGTAACCCTTTCTCCTGTATATGTTACTAAATTTAAAAGGAGAAACTTTTGTTTTTTCTCTTTGGCCACACTGCCTCAGTGGGATATGATTGATTTATTTAAAGAAGAAGAAGTGCTGGAAATAAACATAAATGCAATAGTGCAAATATCTTATGCAACATCAGCCAATATACAGTGGTCCCTCGCTTTTCGTAGTTCTCGGCAATCGTAAATTTCGCCAATCATAGGGGTATTTTCGTATAAACATGGACTCGCTTTTCATAGGTTGACTCGCGAATAGTAGTTTGTCCGGGACGCGTAAGCACGGTGTAAGCCGGGGAGGCCTCCCTACCCAGCCAGTCTGACATTGTTTACCAGTGAGTGAAGGTCCCCTCAAGTGCTCCTACGAAATATTTCATAATATTCCACTCATTTTAGTGCTTGCAAGTACTAAATAAGCTACCATGGCTCGAAAGAAAGCTCCTAGTGCCAAGCCTGTGGTAAAGAAGGTAAGAAATATGTACAGTGACAAAGTCTTGGGCCATTTTAGGGAAGTGTTAAAGAGACGCCAGAAACAGAGCTCTCTCCACAGTTATTTGGCGAGACAGGGCTCCAGTGACTCTCATGGTTGTCCTAGTGGCATTAAGAAACAGAGAAGAGAAGCAACCCCAGAGAAGCAATTGGTACCCGAGGTGTTGCTGGAAGGGGATTCCCTGTCCAAACTGTAAACAATCCAATCTCTCTCCTCCTCCAGTCTCCCATACACTAAGAAGAATCTCCAATAAAGGTAAGCGTTATGCTGTTAATGTTTCATTCATCATTTCCCATTGTATTGTTTATGTACCACATGTATATTTCATGTAAAAATTTTTTTTGTTTTAATACTTCTGGGTGTCAGGAACGGATTAATTGTATTTACATTATTTCTTAGGGGAAAATTGATTCGCAAATCATAAATTTTGTTTATAGTATCTCCTCCAAGAGTGGATTAATTACGAAAAACGAGGGACCACTGTATATTAAAAATTTACATTTACAGATATGACTAGAAAAATGCTGAGATAAATATTGACAGTATATATTCAATAATAAACTAAATATTCAGCTTTAGTATGATGTCTGCACTTGAAAAACAAGTGAATAAAACAAAACAGTTCAAAGACATTCTATAAAATATCTCCCAGAAACAGAAGATATAAATTAAGGAGAAAAGCTGAAGAAATTATATATGCCCTTACGGGCTGACAAACAAGAAAGGAGGAGACATGATAACAACATACAAGATTATCAAAGAATTCAAGGAAACTACTAAGCCAGACTTGAGTCTTGGCAGGTGAAAGATGCAGTTCTTGCACACAGAATGACAGTTCAAAGGGTCATCCAAGAGGTGATGTCTGCATAATTCTAGCAAGACAGCTACTGAATGAATAATGGTGAGTGCATTTCCTTTTTGGGTGAGACAGCCAACAGTTAAAAAAACTGGTAGATATTTTCAAGCACCAATAACATGGAGAACAAGAGGCCATAGCTATAAAGTAAGAAAAAGTCAAATGGATGTTAGAAAGTTCCTGACAATCAGTGATAAAGCAATGGAATGAGTCATCCCAACAGGTAGTAAGTCACCATTATCTTTGCTCTGCTCCTGTAGCAACAAATACCATAGGTACTGTACAGTAATTACACACATGTCATTACATATGGTACTGACTTATCTGGATCCTATACCAGATTCATATCCACTTAGAATTTGCCTTGTACGAAACTGCCTTCTCAATTCTGGTTGCTACTGTTCCAGTGTGGGCCCCTGTGATCCTGCAGCAGACCTCAGTAGGTGCTGTGCACTACAACATTCGGCTACTGACCGCTAAGCTGAGGTGAACAAGGGCTTTATAGAGCATCCAAGACCTCACTGGGGCTATGAAAGGTGAATAATAGGTGTGGGTAGGTATGACACTCCAATGAAGGCTTCCCATGTCTCTATCACAAAATTATTTTTCATGCATGTATTGTATTTCAAAACAAGACCATAAAATGAAAAAAAAAAAAACTAGTTACAATCTGATAATGATGATTTACAATATCATCAGCTGTTTCTCCTTTCCAATTAATGAGCTAGCAATTCCTCCCAGCTACAGTACTGCAACTACAGTATGTGTGTTTCTTAAAGTATTTCTCAACTTAATATTTTTAAAGTCTCAGAACTGGAAAGATGCATACAAGTAGTGAAACTTCAAGCAACAAAGATTTTAGAGCTATCAGCATGTCAAGTACTTTTTAGTACTCAAACATATGTAGCAGTGCACGAGACACACATACATATAATATATAGAGATACAGAATATAAAGAAAAAGTGCATAGATGAATAAGTGTATGTGCATGGGGACTTGTGTTTGAATGTTATTACATATTTCAATGTGCATGCCCAGGAAAGAAAAGGGATAGGTGGGTGAGGGCTGTTCAAACTCTTGGACAACTCTCTAAATTTCTACCGACCAATGTGAATTATGGTACAGCGTATGTATTTATATTTGAACCTCCCCTCACTGGAGTTTTTGTTGGGACAGTATTAAGTTCTTTCAACTTATTTTCTACTCTTACACTGATGAAATTTTTCCTGATGTTTCTGACATAGCTGTGTGCAGGTTTCATTTGTGTTGTGTTGTTCTATGTCCTCCTTTAGTAAAAAAACTTGCCTGTGCATTCCTAAGAGACAAGAAATCTAGTTCATGCAGTCACTCCTCATAGCCCTTAACCCTTTGACTGCTGCAACCCCAAATCCTAAAGTGTCTCTCTGTGTTGCAAAATATTAAAAAAAAAAAATATTATTTTTTCTTATGAAATGATAGAGAATCTTTTCCCGATGGTAATGACACCAAAAGTACGAAATTTGATGAAAAACTTACGGAATTACGTTCTCACGAAGTTAGTGATCTCGGTGATATATATGCATTGGCAATTTCGCCCACCTTGAGCCCTATTTTTGGCCAATTGCAGTGCTCCAGTCGACCAAACTCATAGCCATTTGCTCTATCGATTGAATACAAGAAACTGCCCATTTACCGATTTCAACTACCCATAAAATGGTCAGAAATTGGCAATTTGGCCAACTTCACGTAAATTCAAAAAGATGCCAATTTGAAAATAGGGTCCAGAATGAACAATGCAGACATTCCTGGCACTAAAATAACATTTTCCCTGTTCATTAGTCACATCTCCGGGCCCCTCTTATATTACGCTTGCTTTCCATTTTGAATTTTTATTCACACAAAAAGTAGAAGATTTACTGTTATGCAGACTACTGCATTATTGTAATAATTTTATAAATAATGTCAACCCATTTGTGACTGCGTATTAGAGTGGCTAGTTGGACACGTATTGGACAGTGACATCATTTGTTTACTCTTGAACATCGGCAAAAAACGAACATTTCCGCTACTTTGAGTTCAATTTCAAGGTCCTTTTCATCATGAAACTGACCACAATCATCTCTATTTCTGTAAAATGTCTTCCATTCTATCACATGAGACCAAGAAAGCGAGAATGCAACCATAAATACTATATGAAAATACACCTCAAAGTGAGCGTTTTAATCCAAAAACATGGTCAGAGATTTTTTTCTCATTATGCAGTGCGTGCTGCAGGATTTTTTTATATTGCACACACTGACCAAACAGACCCATTTTCTCACATGTGGGCCTACCAGCTTTCTCCCGCTTGATCTGAAGCCGCTAGAATTATGGTGTAATAATACGTCAAAAACACTGGCTCGTAAGACGTATTTATACGACCAAGACAGTGAAAGGGTTAAGTTACGTAACAATCTGAATGCAACGACCAAGACAGTGTAAGGGTTAAGTTACATAACAATCTGAATGCATTATTTTTTAGATTTTCTCAAGCTGTTTGGCTGAATGAAGGCTTCATGCTAGAGCTGCATACTTAAGGACTGCTGACACATACATGAAGTGTCTTTTGAAGGATTTTTTTTTTTGTCTAACTTTATGAAGACCACCTTCATGTTTGCTAGTCTAGTACATGCTGTTAATGTCATCCTATTTATATGCACTTCAGGAGACAGATTTGGTATAATGAATACTCCTTGAATACTCCTAGATCATTTTCTTCATCTGACTTTGAGAGTTATTCCAATTCCTTTTTCTTTGATTGGTACTGTACTATTTTTTTTTTTTACCCTAACTCCCAATCCCATTGCTTTTCACTCACTAGTGTTGAAGTGTATCTATTTGTTTGATTCAATTTTCCTGTAGCCTACTGTTGTCTTTATATCTACTTGTTTACTATTCCAATAACCCCCAGCTTATTCTTAACCCTTTCATTGTCCGTGCCTTAGTACTATGGGTTTGAGGTCACTGTCGGTGCCATAGAACTATGCAATGAACTCCAACTCACTCAGATAAACTGTGAGCGGTAAATCTGGGCCTAGATATGAGAGAATGGGTCTATGTGGTAAGTGTGCACCATATAAAAAAAATCCTGCAGCATGCAGTGCAGTGAGGAAAAAAAAACTGTGACTGTTTTTGGTTTACAACTGCAACTCTGCTGTGTATTTCTGTATGGTTTTTATGGGTGTATTCTCAGTTTCTTAGTCTCATTTGATTGAATCAAAGATATATTACAGAAATTGAGATAACTTTGATGCATTTCAAGACTGAAAATAGCTTGAAATTGAGCTCAAAGTACCAGAAATGTTCCATTTCTGCTGGTATTCAAGAGTGAGCAAATCACATCACTTGTCCAATATACATCCAACTGATGGGTTTAATATGCATGCATGAATGTGCTGATATTACAATAATGCATAACAATAAATCTTCTATTTTTTGTGTGAATAAAAATTCTTTTTGTGAATAAAAAATCAAGGTGCAATTCATATGTAAAGCCTGGGGATGTAACTAATGAATAGAGGAAATGTTATATTAGTGCCAGGAATGCCTGCATTGTTTATTCTGGACCTTATTTTGAAGTTTGTATGAAAATGGCCAAATTACCAATTTCTGATCATTTTACTGGGTAGTTGAAATACTGTAGTTGATTTGGGCACTTTCTTGTGCTCAGTCAATAAAATGGAAGACATTCTAGTGAAATAGCTAAGAATTTGGTCTACTGGAACAATGTAGTTGGCCTAAAATAGGACTCAAAGAGGGCAAAATCACTGATGCATAAATATCACTGACAGCAAAATTCATGAAAGCACAATTTCATGAGTTTTCCATCAAATTTCATACTCATTGTTTTATTACTTCTAGAAAAAGATTTTGTACCATTTCATAAGAAAAAATAAAAAATTTTTTTAGAAAATTCTTGGACACTGGACAAGTTTCAGATCAGGGTCTGGACAATGAAAGGGTTAAACACAAAAAATACTAAACTTCTCAGATTCAATATGTGTGCTTAGGCATACTGCATTCCTTATGTGGATTACCCTTTACCCATCCCCATCTATGCACTTTCTTTTTTGAAGAAATTATCACCATTTTATTTCCTTATTTCTGCTCTCTGCTAACTTTTCTTACTTTTAACTGATATGTTTATATCAGTGACCCATATGTTATGATGTCAGCTACCAGTACACTCAGTCAATCAACACCTTGCATTCTTAACATTAATTCTAATGTCTTTGCACACTTAAGCAAAGAGTACTTTAAACTTTTCCTTACTAAACAAACATTCTGGATTCAAAAGCATAATTTCTGAATTTGTATTAAGTTTTGAGGTTAAATCCTGAAATTATCAGTTGCCAAGATACTTTGGAAGATTTAGTGTTTCTCACCACTATGAAAGGCAGAACAAGAAATATTTGCAGAAGACCACAAAAGTCCCCCAATCTGATCATGTGAAATGAGAAAAAGACTATGATCAAAAGAAAAATGAAGTAGATATTATGTTGTGGCCAGCATACAATACAGATAAAACGATGGACTAATGATCTGTGTGGCTGGCTGAGTTAGCTGGGAATAATGACAATCTTAGCGCTTGAAGCAGCTGTGGTAAGTAAAACTCTAGACTTCATTTTGCATTGGTGATGAAATTCTCTATTCTTACAAGTTGTAATGGTACTTTGGTTGATGGCAAATTTTGTGAAGAGTGAGCTTACCTCATCTGTAAACCATTTCATTGCTCACAGCAGAGTGAAAATGCTGTCATCATATGCCTAAAGCAGGAGAGCTTACATGACATACAATATGCCATGCCTACAACATGCCTCTTACCAATTTGAAAGTTTTGCCTAAAATATAGGGCATGAAGAAAAAATTTTACTCTAAATTTTCCTAACATCACATTTATTTATTTTTAAAAATAAACTGGTTCACTATGAAGAGCAGAATGGAAGCACTAAGTTTCACCATACCGTTTATAAAAAAAAAAAAAAAAAAAAAAATTAGAGAGCTTCACTTAACAAGTCCTATACTTCCAACCAGAGAATTTCCTGGGTTATAAGAACTTCTGTACTATATGCCAGACACAATACAATATGCCTAAAAAATATGTAATACTTGAATATGCATAAAAGCTATCTTACTCTGACTTGTATTCAATCAGATTTATATTAATAAATCCCTCACTTCAACTGGGATGATGAATAATCTCTTTTTATAGTATATATTATTTTTACAAGACTATTAACATTATATATTTATTATTGGTCAAATATACACAATAAAAAAATATATTTCATACAATGATTAGTCATAAACTCAATTCCATTCAATCATTACCTTCAGTTTAAAGGAACTGATGTTTGTTAAAAATAGTCTTTAATAGCACCGTAAAAAGTATTCATTCCTATCTCCTAGCAGCAATTTCATTCTTATTGTCTAAACACACACAATCTCATAAAAGACATTAAAAATTATGAATTCCACAACTGAATTATTTAAATTATTTATCAATTATCATTTGGTCCCTCCCTCTGTACATACATGCTCTAAACAAAATGAGACATGAGAATATCAAAATACTTTATACCAAAGTATACTGAATGCTTTCTTAAACCTACACAATCTGAAGCTTTTACATTAACATTAAAATAAATGCATTCCCCTTTGTATTGCAAGATGCCAAATGCAACAATGCTAGCGTTTTATTTACCAAGTTGGGGTTAGCTAATCTAAGGCATGATAACTGAAGGAGTGACCAGCAGATGAGGAGGGGTAACACACACATCAATTATGAGCTCATCATATTCATAAAACTGCACCCTTGAATTCAACATCGTATACTCCCTCCACCAAATTGGTCACATATTCCTCTACCAACCTGGTCACTTGTATTCTCTTCTCTAAGTGGTCACCTGTATGCCTCTACTAATCTGATCACATGTATTCCTCTACCAATCTGGGTCACCTGTACTCCTTCCACTAATCTTGTCATTTTTTCTCTATTCAGGTACTCATCTTTATTTTCCTACATGATACCTACTTTCTATAATGTGGAAAAAAAAAAAATATCAGTCATAATGTAATGCTTTCCTAAAACGTGGTTGCACCAACCTTCCATTTTCGGCAAGTGATAATACAGTGATAGTGCTATGATTTGTGTCTTTGTTTATGCCAAATACACAAATTATGACTAAGTATAAGTTTAAGGACTAAGCTCTAAGTACATGCCGAGGCCTCAGCTCAATTTACTCACTGAATCATCAGCTTAATAATCCTATTTATTACTTTTTAAATTCCCAAGTAATTTAAATCTTCTTAAAAATCACATCTTTATAACAAAATTAAAAACCTGACAATGTACTTTTTCTAAAATAAAAATATTGATAATTCTGGAAAATACCCAAGATGATTTTTCTCTTACTGATATGGCCCTACACTCACACTTATTTAATACTGCAAAGTATCATGTACACTTGTATTGCTTGAGCATAAGTGTAAACAAGAGTACTAAGGCTAATATTTAAATTCTTTGGATACTAATGTACCCAACAGCATCAGCTAATATTCTTTTAACTTGTGATGTCGGAGGATGTAAAAGATCAGTTTTCAAACATTTCATACAAAATAATTAGTTCAAAGATTTGCATTGCACAATCTTCTGCTCAAGCAACTATTCCACAAAACACAACTCTCATATGTTATAAGCTAGTAGTGCTGAATAAAATTTTAGAACAAATTTTACATTAAAATTTCATTTACTATGTGCAACAACAAATAATGACCAATTTAAGATAAACAACATGCATGACATAAATTATCTACTGAAAATAATGCACATTTCATGCTGAAGTTATTTTTCAATATTTTAAAAAATAATTTAAAAAGGTGTTTGGTTTGGATAAGCATTCTGGGAAGTCAAGCCTTACATATACATCTTAGAGAGGTTATGTTATGAATTTACATAATGATCCTATTATAATGCTGATAAGCCTTCATTTTCTCTCTCAATTACTGTGAACAGACAATATATGTAAATGAATTTTGTTTTGAAGTGATTGACTTGTTACTTTTTCTTACAATGGGATTGGTAGGCATCCACATGTAGAATATATTAAACATTAAATTGAACAAAAAGGACTTACTAACATGTACTTCAATCATGGCATTTAGCCATACTTTTGCCAAAAAATGTATTTTCTCAATAAATTATACGATAATGGGATGATGAGAATGAGAATGGAAAAAAAATTGAGTTGGAAGATCAGTAAATTTTATGTGGTTTAAAAATAATTATGATGTACAAAACAAACACAAAATACTGCATACTACATACCTGAAATATGACACTTCCTTGTTTTACTCCAGTGAGCAGATTGTATCAAGTAAACAAATTAAGAAATTACACAAGCAGCACTGCCTCCTTCCTCAACACGCGGAGCAATATCACTCTCAGTGCCCATGAAGCCCACCTCAGAAGTTTGACACAAAACCTCCTCTGGAAGAGTCTCATCTACTGCTAAGGTTTGGCATGGTAGTAAGGACATTCTTGGTAGACTTGAATTGGGCATAGGTTGCTTATGTTGTTGCTGAGTCAACTGTTGTGGTTGTTGAACTGGCTGTTGGCTTTGTAACTGCTGTTGCTGTTTTAATGACTGGTACTGCTGGCTTTGTTGCTGATGAGAAAGTGGTGTTGCTGAAGTTTGCATAGATCTGAGAGAAGCCTCCCGATTTGGTGAAGGCTCTGACTCACGGTTAGTTGAAGGAGGCCGTGAGGAAGGGGGACTGGGTGTCCTAGATATCTCTCTTGCACTGGTTAGCTTCTCCAGTACTTTAACTTGACCCATTATGGCTCCAAGAAAATTCTGATAGCCCAAGCTGAAGAAAGAATTTTTTAAGGAATTATTACGATGGTCATTACTATTTTTATCTATTTGCTTATCAATGGACGTGGGCAAGGAGGAGGAAAGGGGTGAAGGATAGTAATAATAAACCAACATACTTCAAGGAAAAAGTAGAGTACACTTGGACACATCTAATAATAATTTTAGTTGAACAGAACTGACTAGATGATTTCATTTTTAAATAACTGCTTAACAGTTTTCCTTCAATTACTACCCTAAGGAAAATCCCAGGAAGTAGCACTGGAAAAAAGAAATTGACTGTCATTAAATTATTACTAATATCACAATAACTATTAAACACACTCTTAATCATGCACTTCAGGCAGATTTTATTTTTCATCTAACCAGATGTATCCCACCAAGGCAGGATACCTAAAAAGAAAAATGAAAGTTTTTCTTTTTAAATTTAATAATTTATACAGGAGAAGGGGTTACTAGCCCCTTGCCAGGAGCAAGGGGCTAGTAACCCTATGTGCCTCTTACAACACGCATTGCTTATGGAAATAAACAACAAGAACTATTAAGAAAATAAAAGAAAACCCAGATAAGTGAGTAAATAAATAAATAAATATTTTTTTTTCAACAAACTGGCCATATCCCACCAAGGCAGGGTGGCCCAAAAAGAAAAACAAAAGTTTCTCTATTTAAATTTAGTAATTTATACAAGAGAAGGGGTTACTAGCCCCTTGCCCCCAGCATGTTAGCCGCCTCTTACAACACGCATAGCTTATGGAGGAAGAATTCTTTTCCACTTCCACAAGGAGATAAAAATAAAGAACAAGAACTATTAAGAAAATAAAAGAAAAACCAGATAAGTGAGTAAATAAATAAATATATATACGTGTAAAGGTAGAAAGTTGAAAGTGAACATAGAAAAGAGTAAGGTGATGAGGGTATCAAATGATTTAGATAAAGAAAAATTGGATATCAAATTGGGGAGGAGGAGTATGGAAGAAGCGAATGTTTTCAGATATTTGGGAGTTGAAGTGTCAATGGATGGATTTATGAAGGATGAGGTTAATCATAGAATTGATGAAGGAAAAAAAGCGAGAGGTGCAATGAGGTATATGTGGAGACAAAAAACGTTATCTATGGAGGCAAAGAAGGGAATGTACGAAAGTATATGGGTGTGAAGCATGGGTTGTAAATGCTGCAATGAGGAGGCGGTTGGAGGCAGGGGAGATGTCCTGTCTAAGGGCAATGTGTGGTGTAAATATTATGCAGAAAATTCGGAGTGTGGAAATTAGGAGAAGGTGTGGAGTTAATAAAAGTATTAGTCAGAGGGCTCAAGAGGGTTTGTTGAGGTGGTTTGGTCATTTAGAGAGAATGGATCAAAGTACAATGACATGGAGAGCATATAAATCTGTAGGGGGAGGGAGGCGGGGTAGGGGTCGTCCTCGAAAAGGTTGGAGGGAGGGGGTAAAGGAGGTATTGTGGGCGAGGGGTTTGGACTTCCAGCAAGCGTGCACGAGCATGTTAGATAGGAGTGAATGGAGGCAAATGGTATTTGGGAGACGATCTGTTGGAGTGTGAGCAGGGTAATATTTAGTGAAGGGATTCAGGGAAACCGGTTATTTTATATAACCGGACTTGAGTCCTGGAAATGGGAAGTACAATGCCTGCACTCTAAAGGAGGGGTTTGGGATACTGGCAGTTTGGAGAGATATGTTGTGTGTTTTTATACATATAGATTTCTAAACTGTTGTATTCCGGGCACCTCTGCAAAAACAGTGATTATGTGTGAGTGAGGTGAAAGTGTCGAATGATGATGAAAGTTTTTTCTTTTTGGGGATTTTCTTTCTCTTTGGGTCACCCTGCCTCGGTGGGAGACGGCCGACTTGTTGAGAGAAAAAAAAAACTGGTAAGAAAATAAAAGAAAACCCAGAGGAGTGTGTATATATACACACATACATGTACACGTTTATTTATACACACTCATCTGAGTTTTCTTTGATTTTATCTTAATAGTTCTTGGTCTTATTACTTTTCCTTTTATATCCATGGGGAAGTGGAATAAGAATCTTTCCTCCGTAAGCCATCGTGTTGTAAAAGTCAACTAAAATGCCGGGAACAATGGGCTAGTAACCCCTTTTTCCTGTAAAGATTATTAAAAAGAATAAGAAGAAGAAAATTGTCAAAGTGGGAAGTCTGAATGTGCGTGGATGTTGTGCAAATGATAAGAAAGAGATGATTGTGGATGTTATGAATGAGAAGAAGCTGGATGTCCTGGCTTTAAGTGAAACGAAGCTGAAAGGGGTGGGAGAGTTTCAATGGAGAGGAATAAATGGGATTAGGTCAGGGGTTTCAAATAGAGTTAGAGCTAAAGAAGGAGTAGCAATAATGTTGAAGGATAAGCTATGGCAGGAAAAGAGGGACTATAAATGTATTAATTCAAGGATTATATGGAGTAAAATAAAGATTGGATGTGAAAAGTGGATTATAGTAAGCGTGTATGCACCTGGAGAAGAAAGAAGTGTAGAGGAGAAAGAGAGATTTTGGGAAATGTTGAGTGAATGCATGGGGAGTTTTGAATCAAGTGTGAGAGTAATGGTGGTTGGGGATTTCAATGCTAAAGTGGGTAAAAATGTTATGGAGGGAGTAGTAGGTAAATTTGGGGTGCCAGGGGTAAATGTAAATGGGGAGCCTTTAATTGAGCTGTGTAGAAAGAGATTTGGTAATAAGTAATACATATTTTATGAAAAAGAGGATAAATAAATATACAAGGTATGATGTAGCACGTAATGAAAGTAGTTTGTTAGATTATGTATTGGTGGATAAAAGGTTGATGGGTAGGCTCCAGGATGTACATGTTTATACAGGGGCAACTGATATAACGGATCATTATTTAGTTGTAGCTACAGTTAGAGTAAGAGGTAGATGGGAAAAGAGGAAGGTGGCAACAACAAGTAAGAGGGAGGTGAAAGTGTATAAACTAAGGGAGGAGGAAGTTCGAGGGAGATATAAGCGACTGTTGGCAGAAAGGTGGGCTAGTGCAAAGATGAGTAGTGGGGGGGTTGAAGAGGGTTGGAATAGTTTTAAAAATGCAGTATTAGAATGTGGGGCAGAAGTTTGTGGTTATAGGAGGGTGGGGGCAGGTGGAAAGAGGAGTGATTGGTGGAATGATGAAGTAAAGGGTGTGATAAAAGAGAAAAAGTTAGCTTATGAGAGGTTTTTACAAAGCAGAAGTGTTATAAGGAAAGTAGAGTACATGGACAGTAAAAGAAAGGTGAAGAGAGTGGTGAGAGAGTGCAAAGGGAGAGCAGATGATAGAGTGGGAGAGGCATTGTCAAGAAATTTTAATGAAAATAAGAAAAAATTTTGGAGTGAGTTAAACAAGTTAAGAAAGCCTAGGGAAAGTATGGATTTGTCAGTTAAAAATAGAGTAGGGGAGTTAGTAGATGGGGAGAGGGAGGTATTAGGTAGATGGCGAGAATATTTTGAGGAACTTTTAAATGTTGAGGAAGAAAGGGAGGTGGTAATTTCATGCACTGGTCAGGGAGGTATACCATCTTTTAGGAGTGAAGAAGAGCAGAATGTAAGTGTGGGGGAGGTACGTGAGGCATTACGTAAAATGAAAGGGGGTAAAGCAGCTGGAACTGATGGGATCATGACAGAAATGTTAAAAGCAGGGGGGATATAGTGTTGGAGTGGTTGGTACTTTTGTTTAATAAATGTATGAAAGAGGGGAAGGTACCTAGGGATTGGCAGAGAGCATGTATAGTCCCTTTATATAAAGGGAAAGGGGACAAAAGAGATTGTAAAAATTATAGAGGAATAAGTTTATTGAGTATACCAGGAAAAGTGTATGGTAGGGTTTTAATTGAAAGAATTAGAGGTAAGACAGAATGTAGGATTGCGGATGAGCAAGGAGGTTTCAGAGTGGGTAGGGGATGTGTAGATCAAGTGTTTACATTGAAGCATATATGTGAACAGTATTAGATAAAGGTAGGGAAGTTTTTATTGCATTTATGGATTTAGAAAAGGCATATGATAGAGTGGATAGGGGAGCAATGTGGCAGATGTTGCAAGTATATGGAATAGGTGGTAAGTTACTAAATGCTGTAAAGAGTTTTTATGAGGATAGTGAGGCTCAGGTTAGGGTGTGTAGAAGAGGGAGACTACTTCCCGGTAAAAGTAGGTCTTAGACAGGGATGTGTAATGTCACCATGGTTGTTTAATATATTTATAGATGGGGTTGTAAAAGAAGTAAATGCTAGGGTGTTCGGGAGAGGGGTGGGATTAAATTATGGGGAATCAAATTCAAAATGGGAATTAACACAGTTACTTTTTGCTGATGATACTGTGCTTATGGGAGATTCTAAAGAAAAATTGCAAAAGTTAGTGGATGAGTTTGGGAATGTGTGTAAAGGTAGAACGTTGAAAGTGAAAATAGAAAAGAGTAAGGTGATGAGGGTATCAAATGATTTAGATAAAGAAAAATTGGATATCAAATTGGGGAGGAGGAGTATGGAAGAAGTAAATGTTTTCAGATACTTGGGAGTTGACGTGTCGGCGGATGGATTTATGAAGGATGAGGTTAATCATAGAATTGATGAGGGAAAAAAGGTGAGTGGTGCATTGAGGTATATGTGGAGTCAAAAAATGTTATCTATGGAGGCAAAGAAGGGAATGTATGAAAGTATAGTAGTACCAACACTCTTATATGGGTGTGAAGCTCGGGTGGTAAATGCAGCAGTGAGGAGACGGTTGGAGGCAGTGGAGATGTCCTGTCTAAGGGCAATGTGTGGTGTAAATATTATGCAGAAAATTCGGAGTGTGGAAATTAGGAAAAGGTGTGGAGTTAATAAAAGTATTAGTCAGAGGGCAGAAGAGGGGTTGTTGAGGTGGTTTGGTCATTTAGAGAGAATGGATCAAAGTAGAATGACATGGAAAGCATATAAATCTATAGGGGAAGGAAGGCAAGGTAGGGGTCGTCCTCGAAAGGGTTGGAGAGAGGGGGTAAAGGAGGTTTTGTGGGTAAGGGGCTTGGACTTCCAGCAAGCGTGCGTGAGCGTGTTAGATAGGAGTGAATGGAGACGAATGGTACTTGGGACCTGATGATCTGTTGGAGTGTGAGCAGGGTAATATTTAGTGAAGGGATTCAGGGAAACCGGTTATTTTCATATAGTCGGACTTGAGTCCTGGAAATGGGAAGTACAATGCCTGCACTTTAAAAGGAGGGGTTTGGGATATTGGCAGTTTGGAGGGATATGTTGTGTATCTTTATACGTATATGCTTCTAAGCTGTTGTATTCTGAGCTCCTCTGCAAAAACAGTGATTATGTGTGAGTGTGGTGAAAGTGTTGAATGATGAAGAAAGCATTTTCTTTTTGGGGATTTTCTTTCTTTTTTGGGTCACCCTGCCTCGGTGGGAGACGGCCAACTGTAGAAAAAAAAAAACATGCATATGTAGTGTGACATAAGTGTAAGTAGAAGTAACAAGACATACCTGAAATCTTGCATGTTTATGAGACAGAAAAAAAAGATACCAGCAATCCTACCATCATGTAAAGCAATTACAAGCTTTTGTTTTACACTCACTTGGCAGGATGGTAGTACCTCCCTGGGCAGTTGCTGTCTACCAACCTACTACCTACCAAAGCAGCATGGGTTCAAGTCCTTGGCTAGTCACAGTGTTGTTACTGATCAATACCACTTGTTTGTGGGCACAATAATATAAAATACTGCTCGTTGTACTAGTACACCAAACAGGGACTAGAATGAAATTAGCCTAGAGTCATCCACACCACCATATGTCCTTGGGTAGAGAGTACAACATTCATAAATAACACAAAAGGCACAATACCGTGATTGAAACGATACACAAAACCCGCACATAGAAGAGAGGAGCTTACGACGACGTTTCAGTGCGAGTTGGACCATTTACAAAGTCACATTAACGAGAATTGGGGCAGGGCGGGTATATATAAGGCGGAGGAAAAAGAATAAGAAGAAGAGGAGGAGGAGGAGGAGGAGGAGGAGGAGGAGGAGGAGGAGGCGGAGGAGGCGGCGGCAGAGGCGGCGGAGGAGGCAGCGGCGGCAGTAGAACATCATTCAGTTCTGCTGGATGCGCTACTCTTAAGGATTGTGTGGTCCTGTGGATTAAGGCGTCATGAGCTTTTGCCCACAATGAGGCACGCCAGTGTTGTTACTGATCAATACCACTTGTTCATGGGCACAATAATACATGTATACATTTTTTTTTTAACAAGTTGGCCGTCTCCCACCATGGCAGGGTGACCCAAAAAGAAAGAAAATCCCCAAAAAGAAAATACTTTCATCATTCAACACTTTCACCTCACTCACACATAATCACTATTTTTGCAGAGGTGCTCAGAATACAACAGTTTAGAAGCATATACGTATAAAGATACACAACATATTCCTCCAAACTGCCAATATCCCAAACCCCTCCTTTAAAGTGCAGGCATTGTACTTCCCATTTCCAGGACTCATGTCCCTTCACTAAATATTACCCTGCTCACACTCCAACAGCTTGTCAGGTCCCAAATACCATTTGTCTCCATTCACTCCTATTTAACACACTCATGTATGTTTGCTGGAAGTCCAAGCCCCTCGCCCACAAAACCCTCCTTTACCCCCTCCCTCCAACATTTTTGAGGACGACCCCTACCCCGCTTTCCTTTCCCTACAGATTTATACACTCTCCATGTCATTCTACTTTGATCCATTCTCTCTAAATGACCAAACCACCTCAACAACCCCTCTTCAGCCCTCTGACTAATACCTTTATTAACTCCTTACCTTCTCATAATTTCCACACTCTGAATTCTCTGCATAATATTTACACCACACATTGCCCTTAGACAGGACATCTCCACTGCCTCCAACCGCCTCCTTGCTGCAGCATTTACATGTCGGCTGTCTCCCACTGAGGCCAGGTGTCCCAAAAAAGAAATAAACCCTTTCACCTTCATTCAACACTTTTACCATCATTCACACATAATCACTGTCTTTGCAAAGGTGCCAAGATATGATAGTTTGGATGTCACTCCATACAGCCAATATCCAAAACCCCTCCTTTAACCCTTTCAGGGTCCAGAGGCTAAATTTCGAAGTGCGCACCAGTGTCCAAGAATTTTCAAAAAATAATTTTGTTATTTTTTCTTATGAAATGGTAGAGAATCTTTTTCTGGAGGTAATAAAACAAAAAGTATGAAATTTGATGGAAAATTGACAAAATTATGCTCTTGCAAATTTTGATGTGTCAGTGATATTTATGCATCAGCAATTTTGCCGACTTTGACTCCCATTTTAGGCCAATTACCTTATTCCAGTTGATCAAATTATTAGCTATTTCACTAGTATTACTTCTATTCTATTGACTGAGCACAAGAAATTGCCAACTCAGCTGTATCAACTACAAAATAAAGTGATCAGAAATTGGTAATTTGGCCAATTTAGTGCAAAGTTCAAAATGTTCCATTTTAAAATAGGATCCAGAATAAACAATGCTGGCATTTGTGGCACTAAACTAACATTTCCTCTGTTCATTAATTATGTTTTCAGGATTTACAAATGAATTCCATTTTTATTTTTAATTCACATAATGAATTTTTATTCAAACCAAAAAATAGAAGATTTCCTGTCATGCAATATTGTAATAATTGTATAAATAATATCAGCACATTTGTGAATGTATATTAGACCCACCAGCTGGCATGTATTACACGTGTGAGATCATTTGTTTACTCTTAAACTTTGGCAAAAATTTAACATTTCCGCTACTTTGAGCTCAGTTTCAAGCCATTTCAATACTAAAACCAATCAAAATTATCTCTATTTCTGTAATATACCTTCCATTCTATCAAATGAGACCAAGAAATCGCAAATACATCTATAAAAAACATATGAAAAAACATGGCAAACTTGCTGTTTTAATCGAAAATTACGGTCTCAGTTTTTTCTCTCATTATGCACTGTGTGCTGCAGGATTTGTTTTATGTGGTCCACACATACCACATAGATGTATTCTCTCATATCTAGGCCCAAATTTACCGCTCACAGCTTATCAGAGTGAGCTGAGCTCATGGCGTAGATCTACGGTGTGGACTCTCAACGTAAAGCCGTAGTTGTGTATAGACAAATGAAAGAACCATCATAAGAAAGAGAGTTGATCTGAAGACAGTGCATCCACCACATGGAAATTTATGTTTATTAGTGAAGTGGAACCCTTGAACCAAATTTGATACTAACTTTGGGGGAAAAAGAAATTTTAAATTTTACTAGGCAATTAAATAAGTGATCATTTTTATTACTGTTAACGGCATTTCAATATCAAAGAAAAATTAGAAAAAAATTTAGTAAACAATAGTGACAAATAAGAAATTGAGTAATTACATATTACACACCATTCAGTATTTGTAAAATGTAAGAGATCTTGTAAACCTGTAGTGAGTCGAATTATAACTTGAGCAGAGATATCAGAGGCCCGTGCCAAGGTCACCACTCGCAATACTGCTAGGGCGTCTCTTAATACCACAGCAACAACAACACTCCACTCAAGGCATCCTGCCTCCAAAAGTACCTGTGGAAAATGTAAAAAAAAAAAAAAATTAAACTGTACAGCAACTGAGATTATGAGTGGAATGAAAATCTGTTCTCACAGAAAGGTTTTTCTACGCCGACTTTATATTCATATGTGATTCTTTTTTTTAACTCACTGGCCATCTCCCATCGAGGGAAGGGTGAATTGAAAAAGAAACACTTTCTCCATCATTCACACTATCACTGTCTTGCCAGAGACACGTAGATACAATAGTTCAGATGTCCCTCCAAACAGTAAATATCCCAAACTCCTCCTTTAGAGTGCAGGCATTGTACTTCTCACCTCCAGGATTCAAGTCCAGCTAACCAGTCTCCCTAAAAGGCTTCACAAAATGTTACCCTGCTCACACTCCAACAGCTCATCAGGTCCCAAAAGCCATCTGCCTCCACTCACTCTTATCTAACACACTCACCACACCTGTTGGATGTCCAAGCCCCTCGCCTACAAAATTTCCTGTATCCCCTCCCTCTAACCTTTCCTAGAATGACCCTTTACCCTTCCTTTCCTCTAGTACTGATTTATACACCCTCCAAGTCATCCTATTTTGCTCCATCTTCTCTAACTGTCGAAACCACTGCAATAACTCCTCCTCAGCCCACTGAATGATATTTTTGGTAACCTTGTACCTACTTCTAATCTCCATACTATGAATTCTCTGTGCTTTTGGGAGATTCTGAAGAAAAGCTGCAGAGGATTGGTGAATGAGTTTGGAAGGGTATGTAAGAAAAAAAGGAAATTAAAAGTGAATGTATGAAAGAATAAGGTGATGAGGATAACAAAAAATTTAGGTAAAAATTTAGGTAATGAAAGACTGGATATCAGATTGGAGGGAGAGAATATGGAGGAAGTGAATGTATTCAGAAATCTGGGAGTGGATTTGTCAGCCGATGGGTCTATGAAAGACGAGGTGAATCACAGAATTGATGACGGAGAAAAAGGCGAGTGGAGCACTGAGGAGTCTGTGGAGACAGAGAACATTATCCATGAAAGCAAAGAGTGGAATGCATGACAGTATAGTGGTACCAATGCTCTTATATGGGTGTGAAGCATGGGTAATGAATGTTGCAACAAGGAGAAGGCTTGAGGCAGTTTAGATGTGTATGAGGGTAATGTGCAGTGAATATAATGCAGAGAATCTGTAGCTTGGAGATTAGAAGAAGGTGCAGGGGTTTCTAAAAGTATTATCCAGAGGAGAAGAGGAAGGATTGTTGAGGTGGTTCAGATATTCAGAGAGGATGAAACATAGCAGAATGACTTGGAGGGTATATATATGTACATGTATATATATCTGTAGGTAGTAGGTTGGTAGACAGCAACCGCCCAGGGAGGTACTACCGTCCTGCCAAGTGAGTGTAAAACGAAAGCCTGTAATTGTTTTACATGATGGTAGGATTGCTGGTGTCTTTTGTCTGTCTCATAAATCTGCAAGATTACAGGTAAGTCTTGCTATTTCTACTTACACTTAGGTCACACTACACATACATGTACAAGCATATATATACACACCCCTCTGGGTTTTCTTCTATTTTCTTTCTAATTCTTGTTCTTGTTTATTTCCTCTTATCTCCATGGGGAAGTGGAACAGAATTCTTCCTCTGTAAGCCATGCGTGTCGTAAGAGGCGACTAAAATGCCGGGAGCAAGGGGCTAGTAACTCCTGTATATATTACTAAATTTAAAAGGAGAAACTTCAGTTTTTTCTTTTGGGCCACCCCACCTCAGTGGGATACGGCTGGTACGTTGAAAGAAGAAGAAGTATATATATCTGTAGTGGAAGGAAGATAGAGTAGGGGTCATCCTAGGAATGGCTGGAGGGAGGGGGTAAAAGTTTTGTGTGTGAGAGGCTTGAACTTCCAGCAAGCATGTGTGAGCAAGTTAGATAGGAATGAGTGGAGAAAAACAGTTTTCATGACTCAATGTGCTGTTGGGGTGTGAGCAAAATAACATTTATGAAAGGATTCAGGAAAGTCAGATAGTCGGACTTGAGTCCTGGAGGTGGGAAGTACAGTGCCAGTGCTCTGAAGGAAGGGTGTTGATATGTTGCAAAGTTTTAACTGTAGTGTAGGAACATCTCTGGCAAGGCAGCGATGGAGTGAATGATGATGAAAATGTTTCTTCTTTTTTGGGTCACCCTGCCTTGGTGGGGAAACGGCTGATGTATTAATAAAAAAATATTAAAATACAATATTCACATCACACATGGCCCTTAGACGTGGTATTGCCACTGCCACCAGCCTTCGTCTAACTGCAACATTTAACCCCTTGACTGTCGCAACCTCAAATCCTGAAGTGTCTCCTGGTGTCGCAAAATTTAACCCGTAAACGGTCCAAGCAGATCTACGTTCACATGTGTAGTGCTACAAAAGTAGATCTACGTTTTTTTTACATATTTTCAAATATAACAAAAAAAAAGTAGATCAAAGTTTTTTTACACATTTTCAAATGTAAAAAAACAAAAAGAAGATCTACTTTTTTTACATACATGTACTTTCAAATGTTGAAAAAACGTATATATACGTTTGGACCATTTACGGGTTAAAAAAAAAAAATTATTTTTTCTTAAGAAATGATCGAGAATCTTTTCCCGATTGTAATGACACCAAAAGAACAAAATTTGATGGAAAACTGACGGAATTACGCTCTCACGATGTTAATGACCTCGGCGATATTTACGAATCGGCAATTTCGCCCACTTTGAGCTTTATTTTCAGCTAATTCTGTTGTTCCAGTTGACCAAACTCATAGCTATTTCTTTAGAACTCCATTTTTTCTATCAATTGAGTACAAGAAACTGCCCATTTACCGATTTCAACTACCCAATAACATGATCAGAAATTTGCAATTTGGCCAATTTCACGAAAATTAAAAAATATGACAATTTCAAAATAGGGTCCAGAATGAACAATGCAGACATTCCTGGCTCTAAAATAACATTTTCTTTGTTCATCATTCACGTCACCAGGCCCCTCTGATATTACTCTTGCTTTCTATTTTGAATTTTTATTCAAACAAAAAATAGAAGATTTACTGTTATGCAGACTACTGCAATATTGTAATAATTGTTTAAATAATGTCAACCCATTCATGACTGCATATTAGAATGGCTACTTGGACATTTATTGGAAAATGACATCATTTGTTTACTTTTGAGCATCGGCAAAAATCAAACATTTCCCCTAATCGAGCTCCATTTCAAGGTTCTTTTCATAGTAAAATCAATCAGAATCACCTCTATTTCTATAATAAGTTTTCCATTCTATCAAAAGAGACCAAGAAAACGAGAATACAACCATAAATACTATACAAAAAATAGACCACAAAGTCGGCATTTTAATTAAAAAAAAAGTCAGTTTTTTTTTCTCATTTTGCACTGCATGCTGCAGAATTTTTTTTAATATGGTGCACACTGACCACGCAGACCCATTCTCTCACATGTGGGCCTACCAGTTTTCTCCTGCTTGATTTGAAGCCGCTAAAATTTATGAGTACAGTGGTCCCTCAATTATCATCCTTAATCCGTTCCTGGAAGTGGGACTATTATCGAAATAGACGATTTTTGAATCAATTTTCCCCATAAGAAATGATGTAAATACAATTAATCCATTCCTGACACCCAGAAGTATTAAAACAAAAAAATTTTTTACATGAAATATAGATGTAGTACAAACAATACAATGGGACATGATGAATGAAACATTAACAACATAACACTTACCTTTATTGGCGATTCTTCTTAGTGTATGGAAGACTGGAGGAGGAGAGAGATTGAATTACTGTTTGGAAGAGGAATCCCCTTCCATCACCTCAGGTACCAAGTGCTTTTCTGGGGTTACTTCTCTTCTCTGTTTCTTAATGCCACTAGGACCAGCTTGAGAGTCACTGGAGTCCTGTCTCGCAAAAAAACTGTCCAGAGAGCTCTGTTTCTGGCGTCTCTTTAAAACTTCCCTAAAATGGGCCAAGACTCTGTCACTGTACAAGATGCCAATATGGCTTGCAACATCCTTCTCAGGGTGACGTTTCTCCATAAATCTTTCCCTCCTACCCCACATTTCAAAAATCTCCTTAATTTCTGAAGAAGGCACCTTCTTCCATCTCTCTTCCTCCTCCTCTGCAGCAAGATTGTGAGCTGCGATCTGTTGCTGTTCCTGCTGAAGCTCTTGCAGCTCCTCAGTGGTTAGCTCTTCGTTGTGGTCCTCCACCAACTCTTCTACATCCTCCAAACTTACATCCAACCCCATGGAACTCCCCAGTGCCACAATAGAGTTCACAACTGACAGAGGCTCATCAGGGGCTGCCTCAAACCCTTCAAAATCCCTCCTGTGGACACAATCTGGCCACAAGTTTCTCCAAGCAGAGTTCGAAGTCCTGGTAGTCACTCCCTCCCAAGCCTTACCTATAAGGCTTATGCAATGGAGAATACTGAAGTGTTCTTTCCAAAAATCTCTTAGGGTCACATTAAAGCACCTTTCGAACATTGCTGTGGTGTAGAGTTTGAAATGACCTGCTGGTCCATGGGCTGGAGGACAGGAGTGGTATTCGGGGGCAAGAACTTTACTGTGATGAACCCAAACTCTTTCAGAATTAGGTCATCCAAGTTTGGAGGATGAGCAGGTGCATTGTCCATTAGTAGGAGGCACTTGAGATCCATTTTCTTTTCCAGGAGGTAATGCTTCACACAAGGGACAAACACTTCATCGAATCACTCGACAAAAATTTCCCTCGTGACCCATGACTTATTATTGGATCTCCAAAACACACACAATTTACTCTTCATAACATTGTTTTTCTTGAACACTCTGGGATTTTCAGAATGGTCCGAACTGGCAGCCTCACCATGCCTTATCACACTGTGTATGCCAGTACGCTTAAATCTCTCAAACCAGCCTTTGCTGGCCTTATATTCACTCACATCACCACTAGTTGCAGGCAATTTCTTTACCAAATTGTTATGCAACTGCCTAGCCTTTTCACAAACAATCGACGTCATAAGACTATCTCCTGCTAATTGTTTCTCGTTTATCCACACCAATAATAACTTCTCAACATCTTCAAGTATTGGTGATCTCATTTTTGCCAGCATATTTACCCCCTTTGCAACAACAGCTTCTTTGATTTCCTTTTTCTTGGCTATGATGGAAGATATGGTTGTACGGGATTTGTTATACATCCTGGCCGGTTCGCCCACACGTACGCCACTTTCATATTGTTCAATGATGCTTTTCTTAAATTCAATCATATTTCTCACCATCTTTACCAAAGGCTTGGCACTAGGAGCTTTCTTTGGAGCCATGGTAGCTTATTTAGCACTTGCAAGCACTAAAATGAATGGAATATTACGAAATATTTCGTATGAACATGTGAGGGGACCGTCGCTCACTGGTAAACAATGGCACACTGGCTGGGAAGGGAGGCTGAGGTGCTCAGAGCCATGAGTATGTGTCCAGGACGAAAGACGATTAGTGAGTTAACGGACCATTTGCGAACCAATGTTTAGATGAAATAACGCGACTATTTCCGAAATGGACGATTTTCAGGCCGGACGATTATTGAGGGACCACTGTATATATACATCAAAAACGGTGGCTCGTAAGACGTATATATACAACCAAAACAGTCAAAGGGTTAAAATCCATGCTTCACAATGATAATGTCAAGATTTTTACAAAAGAACTCGAATATTTCCTATTTTTGCAAATTAGTTTCATGCATTTATAGTGGAGCTTACATAAGTTTCTCAAAACTACACTAATGAGAGCACCATTGTTGCTGTAGACTCATCAACACACCAATTGAGATAAGTGAAATATTTTTTTTATTTTGTTTTGCAACTAAATTAATTAAAATTTGGATAATAGCCAGCTTCATTCCCTCACTGAATTGCCCTTTCTAACTTGTCTGCTCATTCTCTTGCCAAACTTTTTGCTCTTTCATTTACCTTTTGCTTTGCTTTCTTGCCTTATCTCTTGTTTACTCTTGCCCTCACCCATTTGCCTGCCCTCTTGCTAAATCACACACTCACCTATTCTCCCTTTCAACCTTAAAACTAAAAGCAAATTTTGACAAGTGATCCAATTAAATATTTTCTACTCAAAATAATTTCTGAAGTAGGGGGTCTTGTTATTCTATCTCTAATGCAGTTAATTACTATCTATGCACCTTCACATTTTTGTCATAAAACATAATTCTCATTAACAGCAGACGTTTGGTGTACAAATGAAAATAGCATAACGAACGAGACTGATGTAAATTGACCACTGTAACTGTTTTGTATAATATAGAAAAATTTCCTCCAAGAATATAAACAAATGTATCTAAATGAAAAACAAAGAAAAAAAAAAAGACACTTTCCCAAAGACTGTCAACAACATGCCTGCAATAAATATCTGAGCTGAACCTCAGCATGAGGGGGTGGTCTTGGAGTGGCTTGTGGAGGAGGATCAGGGGGCCTAGACAGCAGATCACGAGTTGGGTCACTGCTCTCAGGGCTCCAGTCTCCACATATACTAGATGCGTCATCTCCATATACGGTTCCTTCTTCGCTCATGATACTTACTGTATCACCTGCAAAGTGTAAATAATACATGAAATGTAAAAAAAAAATTGACCATCAGATTTACATATAAAACAAAAACAAAATTATTTACCTGAAAAATTATAGTAAATTAAATTAAACTTCAGCAAGATTGAAATTGGAATTTAATTTAGAAACATACTCCTAATAAAATCACACAGCAATTACAACTAAATGCAGTATTGTATATATACTCTTATGCTTCTGATGGTAGTCTCCATATGCATTTAGTGAGAAAATTAGTTTTACAAAAGGAACAGACAAAACAAAGGTCATTCCTACATCATGCATAAGATATGTCTCATCTGCCAAAATTCCACATTATATTTATCAAATAGATGCCTGGCAACAATGTTCATCTTTTTAGCATGATACAATGTTAACCTCAAGGTTGAGGTTGTGAGCCTTCACTACTGAGTAAAATGTAAACTTCTGGTCATGTTGGATGATGCTAATACAAGTTTCTCTAGCACTTGCACAAGCTGACAGTAAAGCTACTGAATTTCCAGCTTATTCTTTGATTGCATAAATGTAAGTGCTATTTGCAATGTATGATTAAGCACTACTATTACTTATACATGTATATCTGGCATGCAATATTTAACTACAGTCTCTCCTCACTTAGCGATGTACTCGTTTATCGACAACTTGGACTTACAACAGGCTCTCTGATCAGTATTCATACCTAAATAATGTATATTAGAGCTGATTTGCTCTGTTCTGTTTATTACAATATACAATAAACTGCTGTATAAACATTTAAAAATATACCAGAAATGTTATAAATAGTGCAAGAGTGACATTAAAATAATATCAAAGATGGATGACACAAACCCACTATCATTATAGCATGCTCTACACTTAGTGACGAATTCATTTACCGACGTGGTCTTAGGAACGGAACTCTGTTGTTAAGTGAGCAGAGGCTGTATTTATTTGTAATGACACTGGCTGTCTCCCACTAATCCACATAAATTACAATGTATGAATTGAAATTCAGCCACATTTCCAGGTTACAATCTATTAAAATCAATATATATTTACATTACTTGTTAAATGTAAGATTAAGATAAAATTAAAATACTAGAATCAATGAAAGTTAAAAATATTCAATATTTTTAAGAGTGCTCACCACCAGATCTAAACAATGTGAAATACTATTACAATATATACTGTACTCTATTAAGGATTTATAGCACACACTAACCAGCTCTAGGAGTCTGCGGCAATAAAAGAGCTTGACGAGGCACCATCTCAGAGAGAGAATACGAAGTAGATGGAGAGTGTGGGCCATGCTGAGGAGTAACTGTATGAGTGTCTCCTGTTGCCTGACTTAGATAACCACTATCACCAATCTCACCCGTACCAACAGAAGCAACCTGTTAGAATTTATACTAATGAACTTCAGGTTTTTAGTGTTTTTTCTGGGTCATCAGAACATTAAAAATATAACAAAAAAAGGCACAATACCGTGACTGGAACCAAGTTGGACCGAAACGTTGTCATAAGCTCCTCTCTTCAATGTGCAGGTTATTTGTGTATTAAAAGTATATTATAATAACACTATTAGTGATCAACAAATGCAAGTACCAAGCCCTGTGTCTGGCAAGCATGAGAATCAACATGTACTGGATTTGAATACTTTCCAAATCTTTGGCCTCAAAGCATTTTATAATTTTTTTCATGCTTTTAGGGGTAGACCCCCATACAACTGCTGCATCCTCAGATTTTACCCTAAAATACTCTAAACAGTTTTCTCAGCATTTTCCTATCCATATATTAGAGGCAAGATAGAGAATAGGATTGCAAATGAGCAAAGAGGTTTTAGAATGGGTAGGGGATGTGTAGATCAAGTATTTACATTGAAGCATATATGTGAACAGTACGTATTTAGATAGAGGTAGGGAAGTTTTCATTGCAGTTATGGATTTAGAAAAGGCATATGATAGAGATGGAGATTATTTCCAGTAAAAGTAGGTCTTAGACAGGGATGTGTAATGTCACCATGGTTGTTTAATATATTTATAGATGGGGTTGTAAAAGAAGTAAATGCTAGGGTGTTGGGGAGACAGCAGATGGGTGTAGAGGAGAGAGAGAGATTTTGGGAGATGTTAAGCGAATGTATAGGAACCTTTGAACCATGTGAGAGTAATTGTGGTAGGGGACCTAAATGCTAAAGTAGCAGAAACATTTAGAGAGGATGTGGTAGGTAAGATTGGGTTGCCAGGTAAAAATGATAATGGGAGCCCCTTGACTGAACTTTGTATAGAAAGAGGTTTAGTTATAGATAATACAAGGCGTAATAACAGTATTTTGTTGGACTACGTATTGGTGGATAAAAGACTGTTGAGTAGACTTCAGGATGTACATATTTATAGAGGGGCCACAGATATATCAGATCACTTTTTAGTTGTAGCTACAGTGAGAGTAAAAGGTAGATAGGATACAAGGAAAATAGAAGCAGCAAGTAAGAGAGAGGTGAAGGTGTATAAACTAAAAGAGGAGGCAGTTAGGATAAGATATAAACAACTATTGGAGGATAGATGGGCTAGTGAGAGTATAGGCAATGGGGTCGAAGCTGTATGGGGTAGGTTCAAGATTGTAGTGTTAGTGTTCAGCAGAAGTTTGTGGTTACATGAAAGCGGGTGCAGGAGGGAAGAAGAGCAATTGGTGGAATAATGATGTAAAAAGAGAAGTAAGTGAGAAAAAGTTAGCATATGAGAGGTTTTTACAAAGTAGAAGTGATGCAAGGAGAGAAGAGTATTTTTTTTTTTTCCCCCAACAAGTCGGTCGTCTCCCACCGAGGCAGGGCGAGGGAAGAGTATATGGAGAGAAAAAGAGAGGTTAAGAGAGTGGTGAAGCAATGTAAAAAGAGAGCAAATGAGAGAGTGGGTGAGGTGTTATCAACAAATTTTGTTGAAAATAAGAAAAAGTTTTGGAGTGAGATTAATAGGTTGAGGAAGCCTAGGGAACAAATGGGTTTGACAGTTAAAAATAGGAGAGGAGATTTATTAAATGGAGAGTTAGAGGTATCGGGAAGAAGGAAGGAATATTTTGAGGAACTGTTAGATGTTGATGAAGATAGGGAAGCTGTGATTTCGTGTATAGGGCAAGGAGGAATAACATCTTGTAAGAGTGAGGAAGAGTCAGTTGTGAGTGTGGGGGAAGTTGGTGAGGCAGTGGGTAGAATGAAACGGGGTAAGGCAGCTGGTATTGATGGGATAAAGATAGAAATGTTAAAAGTAGGTGGGGATATAGTTTTGGAGTGGCTGGTGCTATTATTTAATAAATGCATGAAAGAGGGTAAGGTACCTAGGGATTGGTAGAGAGCGTGCATAGTTCCTCTGAATAAAGGCAAAGGGGACAAAAGTGAGTGAAAAATTATATGGGAATAAGTGTACGGTAGGGTTATTATTGAAAGAATTAGAGGTAAGACAGAATGTAGGACTGCAGATGAGCAAGGAGGTTTTAGAGTGGGTACGGGATGTGTAGATCAAGTGTTTACATTGAAGCATATATGTGAACAGTATTTAGATAAAGGTAGGGAAGTTTTCATTGCATTTATGGATTTAGAAAAGGCATATGATAGAGTGGATAGGGGAGCAATGTGGTAGATGTTGCAAGTATATGGAATAGGTGGTAAGTTACTAAATGCTGTAAAGAGTTTTTATGAGGATAGTGAGGCTCAGGTTAGGGTGTGTAGAAGAGAGGGAGACTACTTCCCAGTAAAAGTAGGTCTTACACAGGGATGTGTAATGTCACCATGGTTGTTTAATATATTTATAGATGAGGTTGTAAAAGAAGTAAATGCTAGGGTGTTTAGGGAAGGGGTGGAATTAAATTATGGGAAATCAAATACAAAATGGGAATTGACACAGTTACTTTTTGCTGATGATACTGAGCTTATGGGAGATTCTAAAGAAAAATTGCAAAGGTTAGTTGATGAGTTTGGGTGTGTGTGTAAAGGTAGAAAGTTGAAAGTGAACACAGAAAAGAGTAAAGTGAAGAGGGTATCAAATGATTTAACCCTTAAAAGGTCCAAAGAGATCGACGTTCAAATTCGTATTGCTACAAAAGTAGATCTACTTTTTTTTACATATTTTCAAATATAACAAAAAAAAAAAATGTAGATAAAAGTTTTTTTTACACATTTTCAAATGTAAAACAAAAAAGAAGATCTACATTTTTTTACATACTTTCAGATGTTGAAAAAACATATATATACATTTGGACCATTTAAGGGTTATATAAAGAAAAATTGGATATCAAATTAGAGAGGGGTAGTATGGAAGAAGTGGATGTTTTCAGATATTTGGGAGTTGACGTGTCAGCAGATTAAGAGTAAGATGGAGAGTAGGATAGCAGATGAACAAGGAGGCTTTAGGAAAGGTATGGGGTGTGTAGACCAAGTGTTTACAGTGAAACATATAGGTGAGCAGTATTTAGATAAGGCTAAAGAGATTTTTGTGGCATTTATGGATTTGGAAAAGGCATATCTTTTTGTTATCCTCATAACCTTACTCTTTCCTATATTCACTTTTAATTTTCTTCTTTTACATACCCTACCAAATTCATCCACCAAACTCTGAAACTTCTCTTCAGAAACTCCCAAGAGCAGTGTCATCAGCAAAGAGCAGCTGTGACAACTCCCACTTTGTGTTTGATTCTTTATCTTTTAACTCCACACCTCTTGCCAAGATCCTCGCATTTACTTCTCTTACAACCCCATCTATAAATATATTGAACAACCACGGTGACATCACACATCCTTGTCTAAGGCCTACTTTTACTGGGAAATAATCTCCCTCTTTCCTACATACTCTAACCTGAGCCTCGCTATCCTCGTAAAAACTCTTCACTGTTTTCAGTAACTTACCTCCTATACCATACACCTGCAACATCTGCCACATTGCCCCCCTATCCACCCTGTCATATAAGAACATAGGAACATAAGAAAGAAGGAACACTGCAGCAGGCCTGTTGGCCCATACTAGGCAGGTCCTTTACAATCCATCCCACTAACAAAACATTTGTCCAACCCAATTTTCAATGCCATCCAAGAAATAAGCTCTGATAACTCTATCCACTTTCATATGCAAGTCCCACTCAAGTCCAACCCCTCTCACTCATGTATTTATCCAACCTATATTTGAAACTACCCAAGGTTTTAGCCTCAATAACTGAACAGTCTACCTAGTTGGGTTATTGAGGCTAAAACCTTGGGTAGTTTCAAATATAGTTTGGAGGTTAGGAAGAGGTGCGGGACTGCCAAAACTGTTGTCCAGAGGGCTGAAGAAGGGTTGATGAGGTGGGTCGGACATGTAGAAAGAATGGAACAAAACAGAATGACTTTGAGAGTGTATAAATCTGTAGAGGAGGGAAGGCGGGGTTGGGGTCGGCCTAGGAAAGGCTGGAGGGAGGGTGTAAAGAAGGTTTTGTGTGCGAGGGGCTTGGACTTCCAGCAAGCATGCATGAGCATATCTGATAGGAGTGAATGGAGACAAATGGTTTTTAATATTTGACGTGTTGTTGGAGTGGGAGCAAAGTAACATTTATGAAGGGATTCAGGGAAACCGGAAGGCTGGACTCGAGTCTTGAAGATGGGAAGTACAGTGTCTGCACTCTGAAGGAGGGGTGTTTATGTTGCAGTTTTATACACTGTAGTGTAAAGCATCCCTCCGGCAAGACAGTGATGGAGTGAATGATGGTGAAAGCTTTTCTTTTTCAGGCCACCCTGCCATGGTGAGAATCGGCTGATGTGTTTAAAAAAAAAAAAAAAAAGGGAGTTGACACAGTTACTTTTTGCTGATGATACTGTGCTGTTGGGAGATTCTAAAGAAAAGTTGCAAAGGTTAGTGGACAAGTTTGGGAGGGTGCATAAAGGTAGATAATTGAAAGTGAACTTAGATAAGAGTAAAGTGATGAAGGTATCAAACGATTTAGATAAAGAAAAATTGAATATCACATTGGAGAGAAAGAGTATGGAAGAAAAAAATGTTTTCAGATATTTGAGAGTTTACTTGTTAGCAGATGGGTTTATGAAGGATGAGGTTAACCATAGAATTGATGAAGGAAAAAAGGTGAGTGGTACGTTCAGGTATCTGTGGAGACAAAAAAAAACATTATCCATAGAGGTAAAGAAGGGAATGTACAAAAGTATATTGATACCAACCCTCTTATATTAATGTGAAGTTTGGGTTGTAAATGCTGCAGTGAGGAGGTGACTGGAGGCAGTGGAGATGTCCTGTCAAAGGGCAATGTGTGGTGTAAATATTATGCAGAGAATTTGGAGTGTGGAAACTAGGATGTGTGGAGATACTAAAAGTATTAGTCAGAGGGCTGAAAAGGGATTGTTGAGGCAGTCTGGTCATTTAGAGAGAATGGAACAAAGTAGAATGACTTGGAGAGTGTATAAATCTGTAGGGGAAGGAAGGCGAGGTAGGGGTCGTCCTCGAAAAGGTTGGAGGGAGGGGGTTAAGGAGGTTTTGTGGGTGAAGGGCTTGGACTTCCAGCAAGCATGCATGAGCATGTTAGATAGGAGTGAATGGAGACAAACGGAACCTGACGAGCTGTTGGAGTGTGAGCAGGGTAATATTTTGTGAATGGATTCTGGGAAACCAGTTAGCTGGACTTGAGTCCTGGAAATGGCAAGTACAATGCCTGCACTTTAAAGGAGAGATTTGGGATATTGGCAGTTTGAAGGGACTTCTAAACTGCTGTATCTGAGCGCCTTCACAAAGACAGTGATTATGTAAGAGTGATAGTGAAAGTATTTTTCTTTCTTTTCTGGGTTTTTCTTTTTTTTTGGGTCACCTTGCCTCGGTGGGAAACGGCCGATGTGTTGAAAAAGAAAATCTAAATGCTATTTATATGTGGAAGATTGTTAAAAAAAAAAAAAAAAAAAATTACAGATTGAAAAAGTGCATATTTGTGAATCAAATAAGACTAAAATGAGTGGAATCTGATAAAAAATTATGATTTTGTGGAGTGTTGAATTTGAAAAAAAAAAAAGATCACTCATCAGCAACACCAGCATAAATGCACCAGCAATATTTACATTCTACAATTTAATGATGCCAAATTATGACTGTATTTGAGTTTTTATTGTTCTTAATGTGTACCACTACATACAATAGCTTTGTATGTTACATGTGTTTTAAGGTGTTTTAATATTTCAAACATGCATAGCCTGATATTGCTCCACAAAGACTATGCAGTATAACCTAGGGCAAATAATTATTTTTCTATTAATAAATCACGGTGTTTGATTATTTTGGGTTATCCTGGGAGAAAGCTACATGTGCTCATTGGCTGAATTCCAATGTTAGTATCATGAAACTGTAAAAAATTTGGAATGAATAATGCATCTTCCTGGCAACTCCGCACCCTGTTTGCTGGTAGGGAAGCTGGTGGTGGAACAACAGGTCTTGGTTTCATTATTTACTTATGCTAGTAAGGTAGTATTACCCTATGAAGCAAAGCATGAACCTGCCTGGTCTTAGATCTTTTTTTTTTTTTCAAAAGTTAACACAGGTTGTAGGAGACCCAGTCAGTTAAGCTGAGGTCAAAAATACTAGCAGGTGGTATATCTGAAGGCACAAAAAAACTAATTGTACTAATACACCAGACACAGTCATCACTTGCATATTAGGTACACTGGGCACAGTTAAAAGGTTAAGAAATGATCTGACATTAGAAGCCAAAGTCAATAACCTTCTCTCTTACTTAACAGATAAAACATTATAAGAGTAGTACTTGCCTTTGGCACAGTGATAGAGAGGCCATGCATTCTCTCCTCTACAAGCACTGACCTCTCGCATGGACTTGCTGCAGAATGGAGAGATGACACTGTAGGTAAATAGTTTACATAATTAATTGGTGTTGAATACTTCAATGTTTAGCCCTATGTAGGCACCAACTCAGATCATCCTGGCATAGCCTTATGCAACAGGAGGCTGCTGGTCAGGTTCAAGCTTATTAACATTCATGTGTCAAGTATAAAAACAAAAAAAATTGATAAATCACCAAAAAATTAACTTGATACAGCATCACTGTGTGTTGTACTTCAAAGGTTTTTCATTTCAACTGATATCTCTGAAAATAAATTTCAACATCATAACATATAATTCTGTGTTGAGGTTCCATGAACCACTACTGCAATAGTAGCCTGTCAGTAGACTTATTACACCAGTAACAGACTCTGTGATCACTTTTACCCTGTCAGCTTTCTATTTTTCCTTTTCTGCACAAGTGCACAGGAAAGGGTCTAGTCTAGCAGGCAACCAGAATAATAATAATAATAATAATAATAATAATAATAATAATAATAATAATAATAATAATAATAATAATAATCTGAACTGCCATATCTGGGCATCTCTGCAAAGACAGTAATCATGTGTGAATGATGGTGAAAGTTTATCTTTCCTTTTTTGGGTCACCCTGCCTTGGTGGGAGATGACCAAAATGTTGAATAATAATAATAATAATAATAATAATAATAATAATAATAATAATCCTAGGTAGCAGGTTGGTAGACAGCAACCACTCATAAAGGTACAGTGGACCCCCGCATAACGATGGCATCACATAGCGATTATTTCGCATACCGCTTACTTTAATTGCAAAAATTTTGCCTCACATACCGCTTAAAAACCCGCTTACCGATTTTCGTCCGAGACGCGCTCACATGTTCCGCCGGTGGCATTGTTTACCAGCCAGCCTCCGTGGTAACATCCAAGCATACAATCGGAATATTTCGTATTATTACAGTGTTTTCGGTGCTTTTTCTGGAAAATAAGTGACCATGGGCCCCAAGAAAGCTTCTAGTGCCAACCCTACAGCAATAAGGGTGAGAATTACAATAGAGATGAAGAAAAGATCATTGATAAGTATGAAAGTGGAGTGCATGTCTCCGAGCTGGCCAGGTTGTATAATAAACCCCAATCAACCATCGCTACTATTGGTGGTACAGCTGCTGCTGCTGCTGCACTGTCAGCTGCTGCTGCTGCTGCACTGTCAGCTGCTGCTGCTGCTGTAGCACCGTTGTTGGTGTGGCTTATTGAGAATACCAAGAAACAATTAACCCCAGAGGATTTGCCACCCAGGATAACCCAAAAAAGTCAGTGTCATCGAAGACTGTCTAACTTATTTCCATTGGGGTCCTTAATCTTGTCTCCCAGGATGCAACCCACACAAGTCGACTAACACCCAGGTGAACGGAAAAAATGCCTGGAAAATAGTGCTCATATTGGTGAATTTAAAGCCAGCAAAGGTTGGTTTGAGAGATTAAGAATCGTAGTGGCATACACAGTGTGATAAGGCCTGTTCTGGAAGAAAATGCCAAACAGGACCTACAGTACTCAGGAGGAAAAGGCACTCCCAGGACACAGTGTCTCATCAGTCAATGCTGCATCTTCAATAAAGGTAAGTGTCATTTATTCTTCATTTAGTAGACTAGTACATGCACAATATATACTGTGCATGTACTACTCTACTATTGTGCATGTATCCTTCTCTTTGTGTGTGGGAAAATGTATATTTCATGTGGTAAAATTTTTTTTTTCATACTTTTGGGTGTCTTGCACGGATTAATTTGATTTCCATTATTTCTTATGGGGAAAATTCATTCACATAGCGATTATTTCGCACGGATTAAAATCGTTAACCGGGGGTCCACTGTACTACCGTCCTGCCAGTAGTTGAGATGTTTGACTCAGTGTATATAAGCAGTGAAGGTTGACTGTACATTTTCTAGTTCAGCAATCTTGCTTGCCTTGAAGGCTGCTAGTATACAGCAGTATTCCAGCTTGAAGAGAATAAGTGACTTGAAGAATATCATCACTGCCTCAGATGTCCTTGTAGTGAAAGTTCTAGTTATCAAGCCTATAATTTTCTTTGCAGTAGCAATGACTGTGAGATCATCTGATATCATTACTCCAAAGTAATGATATCACCCTATTAAATGATCCACGTTTATCTTGTACTCAAATAACCCGCACATAGAAGAGGAGCTTACGACGACGTTTCGGTCTGACTTGGACCATTTACAAAGTCACACTAACGAGAAGTCGGACTGAAACGTTGTCGTAAGCTCCTCTCTTCTATGTGGGGGGTTATTTGTGTATTGTTCCAGTCACGGTATTGTGCCTTTTTTTGTTATTTATCTTGTACTCCTTTACAATCATTATTTCTACCAGTCTTCCACAGCGGATCAGCTGAAACTTGTCCTCATTAACCCTTTCAGGGTCCGTCCCATAGATCTACGGCTTCACATTGAGTGTCCAAACCGTAGATCTATGCCAAAATTCTAGCGCCATCAAATTTAGCGCAAAAATGCTCATAGGCCTACATGTGAGAGAACAGGTCTGCGTGGTGGGTGTGCGCCATAAACAAAAAATCTAGGCACCCGCATAGCATTGTGGGAACGCCGGCTCAGTTACCTTTGTTCACCATGCCTCGTCGCAAGTCAGCTCTCACTCCCCGGAAAATTGGGACTCTCCTCTTCCTATCTGATAGTTCTGACACTGATGGAAGTGGAAATGAAGACGAATTTTACGGCTTTGATCAGTTAGTGACCGAAAAGAATGACCAGGATATTGATAATAGTGCAGAAAACCCTGACGATCCTCAACCTTCTACCTCTGGTGTGGGCACTCGTGACTCACGGTCGGTTTTTTCCTCAACGCAAGAGAAAAACTAATATTTCGCGTGGCCAGGCCTCTGATTTCGTAATAATGATGATAGTGATGTGGATTGTGATTTTATTGTGCTCGACGATCATTCGAGTAGTGATAGTGGGGAAATTTCATATTCACCAGTGAAGCGTCGGTATGTTCGCCGCCGCATGCACTCGGGTAGTGTACCCTATGCTGTGCCCAGGGGACGGAGTACATCCCGGAGTACATCCCGTGGCCCTACACCAGTTTTAGGTAGTGTTTAGTGAGGATGATGTGGCTACATTGGGGCATGGATAGACCCAGGCATCAGTGGATGGTGTTAGTGGTGATGGTAGTGGCATTTGCCATGCGTGACTCACTAGCCCAGGGTGGGACCCACGCTGTTGACTCGTCAGTTCAAGGACAAAGCGGAGCGTCAGCCACCAGCCCACCACAACCACAACCACCCGCACAACCAGCCTATGATGTCCAGTATCCACCAGAAAAACCGTATGTGGGATTGGCAGCAAAATCCCAATTTTGTTCCCAAGCCTCACCACTTTGATGACTCTCAAAGTGGAATTCTACCTACATGTCCCCTTGGAACCATGGCCAATGAACTGGAATTCTTTGAATTATTCTTTGACCAGCCATTGATGGAAACTATTGTCAGGGAAAGTAATAAGTATTTTGAGTACACCATGGCAAATACGATCTTATCACCACAGTCAGGACTACACAGGTGGAAAGAGACGACTGTTGCAGAAATGTATTTGCTTTTTGCAACAATAATGCTTATGCCTCATGTGTATAAGCATAATATAAAAGCAAACTGGTCCACAGACCGGCTAATTTCTACCCCGGTCTTCAGTGAAATCATCCCAGTGAACAGGTGTGTGTGTGTCTGTGTGTGTGTGTCTGTGTGTGTGTGTCTGTGTGTGTGTGTGTGTGTGTGTGTGTGTGTGTGTGTGTGTGTGTGTGTGTGTGTGTGTGTGTGTGTGTGTGTGTACGTACTCACCTAGTTGTACTCACCTAGTTGAGGTTGCGGGGTCGAGTCCGAGCTCCTGGCCCCGCCTCTTCATGATCGCTACTAGGTCACTCTCCCTGAGCCGTGAGCTTTATCATACCTCTGCTTAAAGCTATGTATGGATCCTGCCTCCACTACATGTGTGTGTGTGTGTGTGTGTGTGTGTGTGTGTGTGTGTGTGTGTGTGGTGTGTGTGTGTGTGGGGTGTGTGTGTGTGTGTGGGGTGTGTGTGTGTGTCTGTGTGTGTGTGTCTCTGTGTGTGTGTGTGTGTGTGTGTGTGTGTGTGTGTGTGTGTGTGTGTGTGTGTGTGTGTGTGTGTGTACTCACCTAATTGTACTCACCCAATTGGGTTGCAGGGGTCGAGACTCAGCTCCTGGCCCTGCCTCTTCACTGATCGCTACTGGATCCTCTCTCTCTCTGCTTCCTGAGCTTTGTCATCCTCTTCTTAAAACTATGTATGGTTCCTGCCCACTACTTCACTTGCTAGGCCCATTCCACTTGCTGACAACTCTATGACTGAAGAAATACTTCTTTAAAGTCCCCGTGACTCGTCTGAGTCTTCAGCTTCCAATTGTGACCCCTTGTCCCGTGTCCCTCTCTGGAACATCCTACCTCTGTCCACCTTGTCTATTCCCCGCGTATCTTGTATGTCGTTATCATGTCTCCCCTGACCCTTCTGCCTCCAGTGTCGTCAGTCCGATTTCCCCTTTAAACCCTTTCCCCGTACGACATTCCCTTGAGCTCTGGGGACTAGCCTTATTGCAAACCTTTGTACTTTCTCTAGCTTCTTGACGTGCTTGACCAGGTGTGGGTTCCAGACTGGTGCTGCATACTCCAGTATGGGCCTAACATACACAGTGTACAGTGTCTTGAACGATTCCTTATTAAGGTATCGGAACGCTATTCTCAGGTTTGCCAGGCGCCCGTATGCTGCAGCGGTTATTTGGTTGATGTGTGCCTCCGGTGATGTGCTTGGTGTTATGGTCACCCCAAGGTTTCTCCCTGAGTGAGGTCTGTAGTCTTTGGGCCACCCAGCCTATACTCTGTCTGCGGTCTTCTTTGCCCTCCCCAATCTTCATGACTTTGCATTTGGCTGGATTGAATTCGAGAAGCCAGTTACTGGACCACATGTCCAGCCTCTCCGGTCTCTTTGCAGTCCTGCC